GTGAATATATCTGACAAAGGATTTTAGAGATGGAGATTTGAGGATGTTGTAAAAGAGGACATAGAGATAGTGGTGGTGATCCCTGGAGGGAACAGCCGAAAGAAGATGAAGTTCATGTGATTATTAATATGGCACGAGGTAATTAAAATGACCCCCAGACCAAGTAATGTAGCAGTGGCAGATACGAGGTAACTCCCCCTCCTCACGCTTCTTATTTCAATGCCCACCATCAGGCAGTGTTTCAGCAGGCATTTTAATGACAGGTGCCATAGTGAGAGAACTCACTCTGGCTGCAAATGAATGAGACTTTGTTCTGTTTGACATTAAGGGCATGGCTGTTCAGGATTGCTGTACACGCCCTCCTCATTACTACGTTTCATTTTGTTCAATACTGTAAAAAGGTTACATGTTCTAAATAACAGCAGAAGCTGAAAAGCGTGAGCCTTCACTCCACCTGCCGACGTCAGTGGCTTCTGAGACAAACATCTACTGCACAGCTAGATTTAAAAATAAGTCTGTCACTTACAGTAGAAGACAGACAGACCTCGAACCGATGGGTTAGCATTAATAATTCTGCTTTGTTTTATATAACATGGAATGATTAAAACTCCCCACATCCCAGAAAGTCTCGGAGTCAGACTCCATCAACATGCAGTACAGTTGGTACATTTTTAACTTATTCTCATGGAAAATTCCAGTTTCTTTTAAATTTTCCTTTAGTTTTGGGGGGAAAAAAACATCAGATAAATCAATAACTACTGTACAGCTTTCATCATTTTGAACTTTGCTCTAAATCAGTGGTTCTTAACCTTGTTGGAGGTACGGAACCCTGAAGGTTAAGAACCACTGCTCTAAATATATTTAAATTTTAATAGAAATACTGAACAAAAACATGTATATTAATGCCTCTGTGCCTGCTCACTCACTGAAAAAAACTGAACTGACCAACAATAAATATAATTTGACTACCAGACTGAGCTGTGTAAGTGTGTCCAGGTGGTGGAAGTGCATCACATTAAATTTGTTCAACCATGACTTTTGGGCGAAAACTCCCAGCCTTGATACCAACATGCACTTGGTACACATTCTGCGATAATCATGTGAGAAGATCAGCGTCTTCACTCCAGTGTCATATTTTTTAATTGCGTGGCAAATCAGCCATGACAGAAACAGGACAAGGACTTGCTCCTAATATTTCGTACAAAGTCGGTCGGAGAAGAATACATTATAGTCATAATAAATATGCGGGAACGCCAAATAAATCCTTGTCGGCCATGACTGATTTATATACTAGCACGGAGAGTTCATCTTTATCAAAGAGACTACAGCACATGAAGTGTTTCCTTAAATAGCCCTTAATTCAACTTTCCAAAGTCACTGCAACACTAGTTTCCAGCCCATGCATTTGCTGACATTGGCATTAATTACAGCGACCTTTCCGATGATAAAACACGAATCAGTAAAACATTATGAGAGTTCCTTCTCTTCACGTTTTAAGCAGTTCTGCATAACGATTTAATGAGGCATTTAGGGGTCTATGAGTGATCTACTGAGAAAGTCTACAATGGCAATCAGCAGCAAGTGTGGCAGCTGTTCGGCAATTAAAAAGCCAAATTACCCTCAATCAACACCATTTACAAGCGCAAGTAAATCTCGGTGCAAATAATGATGAGAGAAATCTGTTCAGACAGCTCTCTTCTTGATAGGAATTAGAGGTGCATCCAAATCAGGAGCAGGGTACTCACTCAATGCTTTTTTTTTCCAGCCTGTCATACACAAACACATGCTAACGCCTTCCCTTATCTGTGCGCTTCTTGAGAGAGCAAACAGTGTGAATGCGTGCTGCAGTATAATAACAGATAAGGACTCTCTTCGTGCTAAGGTTATGGTCTGGCTGCAAAAAGAGAAAACACTCGTCCACCTTTCAACGGCAAAGTAAACAGTCATAGTCTTTGAGAATGAGAGCACCATTAACACACTGTGTACTCTTGCTGTGGGAAAACTGCAAATAAATGCAGTACGTATGCGACGTGGTGGAGGAAAATGGCGCTCAAGGGTAGAAACTGTAGTAACCCTTTCACCCGTCTCCACTCGTAATTTTGATGACTTCACACCTGTATCATTAAAATGTGAATAAATGGTACAGTTTTAACATCTGAATGTACGGTGCACCTGTAGATCAGGGTTAACGACTGGAGGCTGGTTAGCCCACTGCTAACATATATTAGCAGGCAAATTGGTTTAGGGTTGTTTCTAAAGTCAAATCAAACCCTGTTGGCCTGTTAGCAAGCAACACTTTTTTTTTTATTTAGGACACACAGAGACAAGTGATTTTTGCTTTACAGACACAAATATAAACCCTGACAACCTCAGAACACTCCAATGAAGTTGGAACAGTTGGATGGAAATGTTCCACAAATAACTTGATTGTGTAGGGTGACAAATGACTCCTACATCTGACAGTTAACTAACTCCCAAATTTAGTATAACTGTCCCACTGTCTTGTGATTTCGTTTTCTTAGGTCCTAGTTTGATTTAAATTGTATTATTAATGTCTTTGGTTTTCATTGTACAGTGTTTTGAGAGGTCCTTGTTTTATTACTATGATTATTATGGATATTATTATTATTATTATTATGGTTGTTGTTAATATAAACAACAATTATGCTTATTTCATAATTATCAGCATAATCTGTGATTATAATAATGATATCGAAAAAATGAAGGACAGAAGAGAAATTTTATTATAACAATTAATATAATAGTAAAGTAGGGCTGTGCAATTGACTCCCACAGTATACTGTCTTTCACACACACTTTTACGTGTGCACTGTGGCGGTAGTGTTTGAATAGTCACTGTAAGTAAAGTGGACAGAAAGAGGAGAGGTGCAGCAGGAGGCAAAAGCAGACGTAGAGGAGCAGGCAGAGGAGAGCAGCAGCGTTTAGTCAGCAAAACAGTAAACTAAGTTCACCGGAGTGACGTCGGCACCATGCTGGAACACCAGGAACCTCTGAAAAACTCAACAAATATTCAAACACTGAGTGTCATTCGACCAACTAATGCATAGACAGAGAAGGTGAAGTAGTAAATCCACATCAACGTTCTACACATCAGTCATCAATAAAAGATGTATTTTATAGAAAGACATCAGTTCTATCAGCATGTACTCTGTATGTATACTGTTTGTTCTGGGCTACAACGGACCAGGCTTCATGTCTTTGATTTATTTATTGACTGTAATTTATTAAATATTGTTTGATATATTTATGTATATTGTTAAAGTGCACTAATATGTCTAAAATAGGTTCAAATTACTTTTTCAATTTAAAAAATGTATTAGTCATGATAATTGTTAATCCTTTCAGTTGCATTCTATATTAGATTTTAAATTGTATTTTAATGTTATATTAATTTGTTTATAGGAGATTCTGGAGGTTTACGTTGCTGGTTGCTGACGTTTCCTTTTTTTTTTGCAGTATGTATATTTTATACTTTCAGTTATTTAGGACAAAAGCTCAACAGGACAGTTGAGCTTTTTATTACCTGCAATAAATGTGATGTGTTTCCAGGGCTAGAGAATAATAATTTCAATTATCCATACTGACCAAAATAATCACAATCCTTTCCATAATCGTAACACGTAAAGGCTGTAAAGGCTACAACTCCCTCGGCTACATCAGCTCAGGACTGATGGAAAATTCCTGGAAAATCTCAAAATTTCAAAGTTTTTTGCAGCGTTTCAAAACGCTCACTTAGTCAATGTCATCTTTTACAGGTTTCAAGTGGCATGAGCTCACATTGGAGATGGTCGTGGAGTGTATCATGACCTATGGGACAAAGCTCTATATTTCACAAAGATACCATCAGAGTGAAAGAAGAGAGAGAGAGAGAGAGAGAGAAAGAGAGATATTATAATCCTGTAAAGACTACATCTCTGCCCAGGGACACTGTGCTTTTTTTATAATATTCTGACACAAATATAAAAAATTGTGGCGCTGTAGATAAGTGTGTATTCTATACTGACCTGAGTGCAGTCTTATTAAAGATGCCCAGTGCATCAGGGTGAGTAGAATCACACAAGTGCAACAATGGACTGTAAAGTGCTCTATAGACATGTGCAAAAATTCTACTTAAAAAAAATATTTTAACTCATCTTCCAAATGTTAAACTAAAATCTGTAAAAGACTTACTTCTTTGGAATGTGGAAAAGCCCAACGTATTCAGTTTTTATGAAGAAATAACCCCCCTCTCAAAAATAAAATCATTGTATTTTTTAAGAAAATACCAAAAAGGTCAAGTGGGTAACGTTAAAAATGCTTCATGAGTCAGTATCTGGCAAGGAGGGACGGATACTGATGGGAAGATGTAGCACCAAGTTCTCTGAGACCAAGTGGAGTTGGAGCAAAAGACAATTTACAATGTGCTCTATGGACGAAGAGTCCATAATTCAGCATGTTGGGTGAAAATGTGGTTTACATATACAATATTGGACACCCAGACAGATGGCTACTGACAACATCTGTCCATCTGTCCAGTCTGTATTAAAACAATGACAGACACACGTCAAGTACACGTGCATGACCACAATTACACATTTTAGATTTTATCCATCATTATTATAGTGCAACCAAATATTACAGTATGTTGCACACAATATGAGAATGTACCACACTGGTTGAAAACGGTGTCATTGAATACATTGAATACAAGACAACAAATAGACAGACACACACTACTGTCTGCACCGTGCAATGACACAAAAACTTGTGATTTAAGTTGACTTTTTTATCACATGCAGCAGAGACAAAGAGATAAATCCGTACACTCCAGTGTCCGTGTGCACGAATGCATTCATACATTCACACAGACACCCAAACGAACTTGCTGTTCCGTGCATTAAAGTCAAAACCGCTGGATGACTTTACCGGTTGAAAAATTCTCATTTACAACAAGCCTTCATGTCTAATCATAAACCGACTCTTTTCCACAGACTACTCACCGATGGATGGTGAACATGAACCGGCGACGCTTTGCTGTTGCTGCACGCTGCTTCACAGAAGCTCCAGACGCCTATACTACTAACATTCCTCCTCCGAAGACAAAAGCTCCAGCTGCGTCCAGGAGACAGTGTCAGTGGAGCGGTGAGCACGGTGCAGGCGACTGACCGACTGACTGACTGACCGCTGCTCTTGCTGCTGTGGTCAGCCGACGACTGACATCCCGAGCGGCGGACTCGAGCCTCTACTCGCGTTTGCGCTCCTCACAGCACGAAGACCCCGGCACTGAGTGCTCCGCTGGGCTGCCAAACCACCGGAACTACTTCCAACGCCAGCCGGAGCACGTTGAAGATGAATCCATGCACCACACTAGGAAAAAATGAAATCACATCCATTCAACTAGTTCCCGATTTCAGCGCCGGTGACTTTTTACTTGAACGTTAATAATAATAATAAAAATAATAATAGTAATAATAATAATAATAATAAAAATATACTTAGCCCCTCCTCACTTATGAAATGCCAACAACTGTAGATTCAGCTCTGTACGTTGTAGAGCTCAGGATATGCAACATTGAGACTCGGCCACTTGGTGGCCCGGTGGCTATAAAGCTAATACCTAACACTGCCTTAGGTTTCATTAATGTAATTATTACAATTGGAGAATAAGAATAAAACGACAGAACTGTCTTTAATGGAACTGATGTGATGAATCACCTTGAAGGAGATGCTGTAGTGACAAAACCTACCAGAGTTAGGTTGAATTTCTGGATCCAATAGAGCATACGTGCCAAACTCAAATCTTATCTCAGATTATCTTTGGCCAGATTATCTTTAAATAAAGAAAATAAATGGATATTATTGCACTTTCTTTGAATAAAGTAAATTAGTAAAAATTAAGTATATTTTTTCATTGTGTCCCAAATGACCTATGGACTGGTACTGGTCCCCTTCAAGAGGAACTGTATTGGTCATGTGGCCCCCCGTGAAAATGAGTTTGACACCCCTGCAATAGAGCATTCCTCTCATAAAACAGTTGTATATCAACTGTGTTCCTGCTATATGAATTCTCCAATTACACCCACTATAAAAAAGAAAACAATACGTTTAATGACATAAGAAACCAAAAATGGCAAAATTCACCTTTTGCATTTGTGGCAGTGGTTCCCAAAGTTTTTCTGCAGCACTCTTTTTTGTAGGTGGACTATTGGTGGGACCCCCACATCAGCTTATTCACAGTATTTGCTTTAAAACTCAAGTAAACTTCACCTAAAACAGTATCATTCCTACGAAACTGTTATTCTGGTTCTACAGAGGGATTTTAATTACAAGTCACTGCAACTTTGTTTAAACTGTGGCTGAAACAAAGAAATTATTCAAATTAAAGTGTATTTGTCCAGCTGCACCCATTATGTCCCATAATAGCTATGTGCCCCTGAGGGTAGCCACCCCTCACTTTGGGAACCGCTGTTTTAAGGAAATACAACAGAATATTTTGTAGAAATTATTGTTCATGTTAAATTTATGCCATTATTGACATGGTGAAACAAAAAATACACAATCGATGGAGAAGAAATGTTATAAAATGTGATAGAGTCTAAAGACCACAAGTTATGTTTCAATTTACTTCTTTAAATTAAGACAACTCCCTAAAACACCGTTTTTGTTTAGATTTATTAACGCACCTCTTTACATAACTCTGAATGTCTCTGCAGTCATTTCAGTCACTATTTTTAGAATAAAAAAATGTTAATATATAATTCACTATGATTACATTTCCCATTTCTGGCAGCGTTGACGTGTGCTCACCAAAAGGATATATGGAGGAAAATGTTACAGAACATTTGCTAACCTTAAATTTGTTGTTGCTGTGCATCTGACATTTTGACCTAGAAAATGTGACAAAAGATGAAACATTCCAGTTAAATGAATGTTTGTTGCTTCTTGGTCACCTTCATGTTCAAAGTGATTTGATGCTTTTGAGGTCTGGACTCTCTGGAGGCCTCTGATGCTTTTGAGGTCTGGACTCTCTGGCTGTCAAGCACTAGCAGTGTCCCATAATTTGTTTCCTTTGCTGAGTATAGTTTGTGGCATTTGCGGTGTCTTTGAGATCTTTGTTTTGCCGAAAGATGAGCATTTAGTCGAGCTGAACCTTCCCAGATGTTGCTGCATTGTGTGTCTGTATCTGACAATACAATCTAAAATACAATTTAAAATACAACCCCTACATTTTAGGTTTTAAAGCATTTATTTGAAAACCTATCAAAAATAAACATCAACTAGAAAGTATAATTTAACTGATTATATTGTTCAGATTATATTATGAAGTATAATACAGCATAATGTCCTATTCGATGTAAACGTAATTAACTAAACTTTAGGATTTGTGACAGATTTTGCATATCTGTCTCTGTGCAATGTCACACAACCGGGTTAGAAAATCTGCTTTCGGAAACAACTCAATGCTGCCCTCGTCTGGGAAGTTTGGGTTCTTGCAATGGCTGATGCAATATTTATGATGCAAAGCTTTTAAAGAATTTTAAAGGAAACGACGTGCACTGGCGCACTTGTATTCCTTCTCATAGGTAAGCCATTGTTTTATTTTTGAATTACATTGAAATACATTTTTAACTAAAAAACCATACTGTGACAGTGACTCTAAATTCAGAAGGGAAAACAATCATTTATTTACACACAAAACCAACCAACCAACAAACAAAAAAACGCATTAAAATCTATTCCAGCCTTATAAAAGAACTTGGTGTTCCTCCTCTGCCAAATATTGTATTCTCTGAAAAGACCACGCGAGGTCTCTCTAGGCCACATGTGCAGTTTGGAAAAACAAAGCAGTTACCTTAAGGGTAATGGGACTGACTAGTGTCTTGCAGACGTTTCACCTCTCACCCAAGAGGCTTGTTGTAATTTTAAAAGGGAAGGTATATTTGAAGAGAGTCGTTACAGTAAAATAAAGAATATTGATTGATGATAGATGAAAGATGGAATCTTAAGCCAACTTCACCCTTGAGGGATGGTTTCTCCAGGTTGACATACTGTAGCTGGCTGTCAGAGGCCTGCACTGAATAACTGTCTCTATTGTGTTGTACCATGGCCTAGTACAGTAAGCTGGTGTGTCATCCAGATGTACAAGCCAGGGCATTCCTCAGTACACCTCAGAAATTAATTAAAAGTCGACTTTACAAAACAATGAACAACCTCCAACAAAAACGAATTAATTCCAAAGGCACGTTGGCATGATGATTTTCAAATTCCAACACATTCAAGTCAATCTCTTACATGCGTCTTCTTGAAAAGTTGCTCTAGATTTCACAGGCATGCTAATGGGATTAACAGCTTTTATAGGCTTAATCTTAATTGTAATTGTATGCAAATGAATCAAAAGAATATATTTGGTCCATGGCAGGTTGCTCTTACCCAAAAAAGTCTGGACCAAACAAGGCGTTCACAATGCTTAGTCGATATGAGTACAACGGAACAATTAATAAGAGATAAATAAAGTTTAAATTTCTAAATTATTAATCGCTTCAAAGTGAACTACTTCACACTTATGAACATACAGTATTTGCGTATATATTTATATTTGGATATAGTTTATATGGTTAACCACAGTGCTTTCCAAATATTCCTTTGTTTTTATTTAGTGTTTGAATTGTTGTATTTGTATGTATTTTGTATTGTTATACTGCAGTGTACAGTACTTTGTACACACTGTGGTTAAATGTGATTCATAAATAAAATTAGACTGAATTGAGTCCAACCCCTGCATACTTAGAATTTTTCTGCACATCCCTATGATTCCCAGTGGGAGTGAGGATCCGTGGAGACCACTGTGTACTTTAAAGTGTTGTTTGATTGTTATATTCATTAATGCTAAAGTTCTGCGCATTTCATGTTTGTGTATTTTTATAGAAATTATTAAAAGCTGTGTAACAAACAGACGTGTTATAACGTCCCTTTTCACGTATGTATGTCTTTTTCACCCCATGTGCTGAGCACTGTGGTACAGCCCCTTTAGTCTACAAGAAACGGGGGCGGGGGTAAGACTACAGAGAAGTGGGTCATTCGCATAACTTTGTCATAATGTGACGCAGAAGTGTTTTGCTTCGACAAAGACCGCCTGTCGTTCGAAGTCACGCTTGATTGTAAAAAACGGTTAAATAAATACAGCAACTATAAGCTCCTATGAATCTCTAGCGACAGATGAGGGAGGATTTTCTCTGAAAAACGAGGATGGTTTAGTTGGGTGTTCTTTTTTCGGTTTCCTGCTGCTGTTGCAGCTGATGTCGGTATTTGCCAAACCTCCTTGCACCGTCTGGTCTGAACCGGTTCGGAAAGTGCGCGGTCTCGTGCAGCGTGAGATCTCACACACTGCACTACGCGCGCCCTCAACACGCCCCGCCTCTTTGTATTCTGCCGATACCATTGGCCACAGGGTTCTGCCAGCCGCCCACACTTTCCGCGTGCTATGTGGACAACCAGGGCGTTTGTTGGTCGTGATTGGCTCGCGCCCATCACAGTACTTTATTTTGGGGCGTCTCCTTTTTTCTTTCTGCGCACGGGCACGCGAAGAGGTGCCGTCGTAAAGCAAAGCCTGTGCACTTTTCAGCACCAATACCTCGTGGATAGCAGCCATTCAAGCGAAGACATTCGTCGTTGTGAGTTAAGGGCAAGTTTGTTTTGATAAGAAGAAGCCACTGTGGTTTCTAACGCTCTCGCAGGGAAACTTAGTTAGTTTTTCATTCAACAGGATAGACGTGTACAGCGGCGCAGCTTGAGCTTTGTCTCCTCTGGCGGGGAAATTTAGCCTAAAGCTTCCCGTCCATAGACAGAGGCAAGTTTTATACAGGGGAACTATTTTTTTAAATCTATTATCGGATTTGCGCGGTCTATGTTCGCCAAAGGACCAAACAGCTACAAATGAAGGCAAAAAGGTGATTAGAAAATATTAATATTCGGTCTAGCTAGAAGGGTCAGGACAGCGGCTGAGTCGTGGTCGTGTTTTCAGCCACAGCTCGCACCGTTAGCCGCAGAGGTCTCCATTGTGTGAGCGTTTCTTGAGCTATTCCGCTACCGCCTGAACGCCGCGCCTTCACTGCACACCTCCCGTACTCCTAAGTGCAAGAGCTGTGTTCTCCCGGTCTGGTTTTTCGGCCCTTTTTAAATCCTCTGAACCCAAAAATGTGCTCTCGGGTTTGGTTCGTGACCGACCAGCGCATCAGTCAGGAGTATCCACAAGTCCAGATCCTCCGGGCACTGAGGGAGCGCTGCGCCGACGAAGATGTTGAATTCCGCTATCTTCTAATGCATCAGATCGTAGTTACGATCACCGATGGTCAATTGGGTGAGTAACAATGTCTGTTAAAACACTGTGTACCGCTTCAATGCAGTAAAGCATGAGTGATTCGCTCAGTGTTGACCACGCAGTCCCCCGCAGACGGGTATTGTTTGGGGGCTGCTCTCAGTCAAGCTGAGGGGAGGGAGAGAGGTTTAGCTTGGTCAGTCTGCTAGCTACATGAGCAATGTGTGCCGTGACCACCTAACCCACTTTCCACTGAGCTCTCTCATGTGATCCTCATTTTGCCAGTACCGATAATAGATATTCAAGATTACCCATTGAAACGAAATTAAATTTCATTACGTATAAATAGAATACAATGCTCGTTATTTTGAGAAAATGTACTGCAGTATTTTTAACGATTGCGCTTCCTACTAACAGCGAAATATAGGGACTGGATTTGGACTGCAATTTAGCAAATGGTTGAATAGTGTATTTTAGTGGTCGGTCAATCGGTATTTCAGTCTGGGGCAAACCTACATAAAAAGTATATTTTTCTGCCCTGAAATATCCACTAAGCTGAATCCGTCATTGTACTCATATCATTCTATTCACTGATGGTACTTGCAGAAAGGATTTTTTGCCTTTGGCAAGCAGGTGTTAGAAGCTAAGACTGAGGAATGCAACGCTCTTACCTATATTTTCAACAAAAACTGTTTTAAACCCCTTACTTTTCATTCGTTTCCTTTGTTTCCCTGAACATGTTCATTAGCATAGTGTTTACCTTGCAGATTTTTAAACTGTAGTAGTAATGTAGCCCTCAGTGTGACAAATAAACATTATTTTACTGAGCAACAAAGTTAATGAAAAATGTACTTAAATTCGCAGGGATAAATAGTTAGCACACCTGTGTATGTAGAGCAGGCTGCAGCAATGATAGCACCAACAGGAGCAGCAGGAGGTGTTATCCTCTTGATCTGTTCTGTTGCTCAGTTTGACCCACAAACATGATGTTATTAACTACATACTACAAAAAAAAAAAAAACAATAGTAGAGCCCCTATAAAGCAGAGTATGTCTCTCTCACAGATGATGGCAGCTACACAGGAATTCACATCTTAATACAATAAAACTTTCCCCCCCATAAATCCATGTTATATTTCTGGTCTGTTCTATCACATATGTCTCTGAACCAACAGATGTGCAGCAAATGTTGGTTTATATTTAGAAAAAGAATTTTAAAAAACACTTAAATTTAAGCAAAATGTCAAAGAGGACAGACCTGTTATACCATGGAAATCTGCAAAAACATACAACTGGAGCAGGATATATCGGCATTAGCTGTAATCCATGCTGGCTCCATGTTGCACATAGTCTAAATTAACTCTGACCTTTGGCTTGACATCACAGATTACCAGACAGTAGACCTTCTGGGTAAACTGTAGGCTCTGTATAGAGTACATTGGAATACAGGGTCTATCGTAGAAGAGTCACAAAGTACAAACGTTTTACTACGTGTAATCTGGATATAAACCACAGACTCTTTCAATTTCCACATAGATTGCCTATAGTTAGTTTTATCTATAACGGGAGCATGTAGTTTTAACACAAACATGTTGCTTTAGGTGGTGTTGTAGACAAGTGTAAAGCTCAACTTACAGACCAGAACAATGCACAAGTAAGGAACTAAATACATTAAAGGATTCATAAGCCTTTCAGCAAACTGTTGGTACCTCCCTGTTTTCTGTATTTACGTGGCATCATCATTTTAATCTCTCCACAGCATTAATCCAGTCTTTGTTGACGTCAATTGCGTACCACATTTAAATCTATGACAACATTTTTTTAAGCTTCACAAAGGGAGGAAAAACATTTAAGTATTTGCAAAAGTTGCTCTGAAGGTCAGGATACGTTCCAAATACTAAAACTGATAACGTTTATGGCTTGTTCTTTCAAAGAATTCTCCCTCTGTAGGCTTGTATTTGTGTACTCAAGTCAGATGGAGGTCAGTGTTTCACACTAAAGTTAATGGGTACAATCTCTTCTTACACGGTCACAGTTTTTATGTGTCTTGATCATTGTTGTGTCTCTCACATGAAACAGACACATACAGCCATCTGGGAATAATTTTAATTACTCTTATGATTCTTTTTTTTTAAAAAGGTTTTTCTGACTTATTTTTAATTCCTTTTTAATTCATAAACCTAAGTTTTTTTGGTTAAGTACTGCAATAACCTGTTAAAGCCGTTTGGGTAATTATGACAGTATCTAGTGCTTCCAGGAACCAATTTTAATTTGTCAGTGACTTCACCTGACGTACCTTTTTATACATTTCCTGGAATAGCTGATTTGCAACAGTAGCTGTACTACTTTTGTAAATTACTATACTACTATAATGATTGAAAGAAGAATATGTTTCAACTTGCAAACTGGCTTTTGCCAGGCAGGAGGAGCAGTGACTGACTCTCCAGTTTAAACATGTAACATCTGTGTTCCACCTTTTTGTTTGTACCAGTGTTGAGTGTTGAGCGTTGGTGGTGGATACCAAATATTTCTATGTCCATGGTATAAAAATAGTTTTTCAGTGATTGTCAGGAAAATGCAGACTGGACATGGCACAGTGTCCATTAGACACTGAGGGTGAAATCTTTATATGACAACATGCAGTACTGTGTATTTGTATTCTAATGCTGTGTATGCCATACAGTAATTGTTATTGTTACTGTTGCTTTATGGTTTTAAAGTACAGTAACTGATATATTCCGCATGTTTTTATAATACCTTACTACATAAAACATAGTTAAGAGTCAACATTTGGAAGATTCATCCTTGGCAGGTCTTTAAGTCCTTTTCTCCTCTACTGCATGCTATTAAATTTATTTAGGCATGCGTCACGTACCTCAGGCCATGCCAACAAAAACAGCTGCATTTAATCCATACAAGTCTAGGTAACATGCATGTAATAATTTTGGTTGTGGTTGGTGAGAACTTGTCTTATGCTTTCTTGTGTTAAAATGTGCATCGGAGGTTTACCCCAGGGCTCATCAGAGAGTTAGTGTTGAAATGGCTGTCACGTGACAGACAGTGCAGTGCAACCCATCTTGCACAGAAGAATAGAACTAATTCATCTGGCTGCCTCATTGGTCTCTGTCTGGTTCCCCTGGAGATGCGACGAGCAGCATGCACAGTGAACACTGTCTGTTTGCATGAGACCACATCCCCTTCCCACTGTAACACCCTGCACTGTGTTCTCAGTGACACAATCATTGCAGTGTGAGAGTGTTGAATAGGGATAGAAGAAGAGTTGGTGCTCTCCTGCTTCTGCACTGAGATGGGGCCGGGAGATGTGACCCAAAAATCATAACTTGATATGCCTTTCCACCACATAAAAGTTAGCATTCAGAGGGATTTATTTTTAAAGAAATGTATATGTAAATGAAAAAAAGGCTTATATGTAATGAATATGCACTTAAATGAAATCCTATTTTATTCCAACAAAAATGCTTCCTCCTGTATATGAACATCTATTGTTTTGAGAATCGGCTACTGTAATGACTAGTCTCTCAGCGCAACAGATGGACAGGACAACTCATGATAGGGAGAATGGTGGAGCAGAGTGACAATTTCATTAATATAATTTGCCACTTGTCCAAACTGCAGGTCTGCGCGTGGATCAAGAGTTGGTGACTTCCTATCCACAGGTGGTGGTGGTGCGAGTGCCTACACCATGGGTGCAGTCAGATAGCGATATAACTGTACTTCGCCACCTGGAAAAGATGGGCTGTCGGCTAATCAATCGACCTCAGGCCATTCTCAACTGTGTTAACAAGTTCTGGACCTTCCAGGAGTTGGCGGGCCATGGTGTGCCTCTTCCTGACACATTCTCCTATGGTAAATCAGCAGCTGACGTTTTTTTACTCTACTATTTTCATTGTGTTGCTATGTGTAACTGTGGTGGTTGGGTGTGGAGGTTAAGATGACCAAAGCTATAAATCTTCTCAGCTTAATGATCATACTGACAGGTTAATAATGAAATTTAATCAACGCATAACTTGACACTGTGTGGATTACCAACATAATAAACTAATTTTAGAACAAATTACATTTCACTTAACAAAAGCTTTCTAAACAAAGTGTACATTGAAATGACCGTCATGTCCGCTGTAAGACACTCAAATCAAACATGTTTCTACCTGTGTACATGCTATCATGCTCTAATTTCTCTGTTGTGTGGGTGTGATTTTTGTTTATGACTTTGGCTAACACACCAGGAGGGCATGACAACTTCCGCAAGATGATTGACGAGGCTGAGCCACTGGGATACCCAGTTGTGGTAAAGAATGCACGTGGCCATAGAGGTAAGTCAAGCGGTCCTTTTCTCTACACCACATGTACTCCGTGTGCTATAGGCCCCTCATGGCAGTTCAGTCCACCCTTATATGAAATTCATTAACAGAGTGTTAAATGATTAGAACTGTGGTGCTGCAACAGATACAGAAATAGGGGGCTGCAAAGCTCAAACAATGACAGCTAGGTTAATCATTTTAGTTTCTAGTTCACAATTTGTACCCCACCCCCTCTCTCCAATTCATTTATCTCACTACACAGGAGGTTCATGTGTGTTTTAGCCATGCCCCTGAGTTGGTCATCAGCATTTCAAAATAGCTTCTAGATGAAGTGAAACTAGTGAACTCTACTTATTTTGTTTCTTACTCTGAACCCATTTACCAGATACTGTAAGTGTTTTTCTGCCATGTTCATTCTATTTTAATTGTATTTATTTTATCATTTGAATTTATTTATCATTATTTGTGCAGTACACCCAGACCTGAGAACAGTGATTTGTTCTTATCATGTCAAAGGCTTTGAATAGCGACAAAGCCGAGTCTTAGCCCTTTCTTCGGGAGATCAGCCCAAGTGTCCTTTGAGCCATTAGTCCCTTTTCTTTTCATATTTAATGAAACCTGACTGGCTCTCATTGTGTGAATCAGTAACAATGAGCCCTGCTTAGCACTAGCTGCTAGCTCAGCCTATTGTTATGGAAGGCTGTCGTTGGTCAACCAAAAACATGGGGTTGCTTTCTTACCACAATGTGATTCTTTTCTATTCATGAGCAAAGATAAAAATTCAAACAAATACCTATAAATATCTATTTTTTATTTTTAGTCAGCAGTAACAGCTCTTGTACTAATGTTTGACAATCTCCTATTCAGGTCACTACAGTACTATGTCCTGTTATACTTTACTGTTACTAACTGACTATTTAATGTGGGTGAAACCTGCTTGTGGTTGTGTGACATGCCACTGAAGTTGTTGCAAAAAGCCAGGGAAGCCTGCACCAGTGAAGTATAAACACCACAACTCAGGAACCAAGTCATGGTAAATGGCAGGGAAAGTGCAGCCAAAACGTATTTCCTCCTCAGACAAGGACTTTCAGTGTTCTGGGTGCATTGCTTTGGCAGCGGGGAGTGGGATGTTATCTGCTACCCTTGTTAAACACACTCTGGCTTCAAGAACAACTGTTTGTAATAGGTCTTTATCATTTCTGTAAAAATGTCAATTATGTACAGTGCTGTTCGTGCCTAGAAGCTCACAGACACTGCTGCAGTCACAACTGAGAGTAGTTATATTTACTTGTCTTCTTAAGAAGCTTAATCATCATTTTTAGTTTGTCCTAGAAAGGCTCAGTGGCTGCTCATAGACGTTCAGTTCAGGAGTTAAGAATTAAAGTTTAACTTTGTACAAATGTGTACACATTGTTTTAAGAACACACAGTTGTTCTAAATGGTGGATGGAGAAAAAACGACGTACTTACTTTAAGGCTTTACTTAACATTTACCATATTTTATTATATATATACTGTATATTATAAAAACATTTTTTATTTTTTTTCTTCAGCCATGTTGAATTAATAAACCACTTAAAAATCTTGCATAACATTTGCAGTTGAGTTACGTGATGCTTGTCATTACTGTTCATTCACATCTTTGTGTTATCCAGAGATGGTCTGGTTGTGCACGTATACAGTCATCACATGATGTTCCCTGGTGCAGGAACAGAGGTCAAAGGGCTTCACAACTAGGAGTCAGAGCCATGCAGTGCTAATTAAAAACAGGAGTCTTCTATCCTCTGTGAGAAGCAATACAGTTGCTCTCACATCTTGAGTAATGTCCATTATAAGTGAAATGGGAACTGACATCAGACTTGAAAAAAAAAGCAGCTGTTTGTCATAAGAAACTTTGAGGGAGTAATTAAGCCTCAGCCTGTTGGACTGCTAGACTCAGTTTCTACCTGTTTTTTCTTTGTAACGGTTTGAGAAGTAGCTTGTTTTGATCTAATCTAAAATCTACTCTCCTTCCAGGCAAGGCAGTTTTCTTGGCACGTGACAAACACCACCTGACCGACCTTTGCCACCTGATCCGCCATGATACCCCCTACCTGTTTCAGGAGTACGTCAAGGAGTCGCATGGCCGTGACGTGCGAGTAGTCCTGGTGGGCGGCCGTGTCATTGGCTCCATGCTGCGCTGCTCCACCGACGGTCGCATGCAGAGCAACTGTTCCCTGGGTAGGCAAGATGCTCAGTCAGAGTCAGAATTAAAGTATGAAGAAATGAAACATAAAACTTTTTTCTCAATCTGTGATTATAATTTACCAAACAGACCCAATATACCACAGAAGAAGAAGAACCAGGAATTGAAAGTCTGTGGGATTGTCAAAAAACAAAACAACTAATTGATCTTATAAATCAATTGAGAATCAGCCTAATTTTTCGTGGCGCAACCCCAGGCTGCAATGGAGGTAGCCATGTTTTTTAATACACTTATTTTGTGTATTTATAGTCTTCATTGCTGACTGTGTTAAATATGCAGTCCCTCTTTTAGCAAATGGAAGGTGACACAAGATCAAAGAAAAAACTAAACTGAGGATCAGAGAGTGTAACTTGTGTTCAGTTTTACCAAGTTCTTTTTAACCAACCTCTCTGTTTCTTATAGGTGGTGTTGGTAAGATGTGCCCACTCAGTGAACAAGGGAAGCAGCTGGCCATAGAGGTGTCCAACATCTTGGGCATGGATGTCTGTGGCATCGACCTCCTGCAGCTCAACGATGGCTCCTTTGTGGTATGTGAGGCCAATGCCAATGTGGGCTTCATTGCTTTCGACAAGGCCTGTGGCATGGACGTTGCAGGCATCATCGCCGACTTCGCCCTGTCCAATCTTCCCAGCCGCCTCATCCGTAAGATGTCCTTATTATCTGTCGTGTCGAGCACCAGCGAAACCAGCAGTGAGCCCGAAGTGTTGGCGGTCCCCACCGGCGGCGTCTCACTGCCTGATGCTGTCTGCAACATGAGTGTGGGCTCTACTTCCAGTGAGAGTGACCCGGAGCTGGCTGAGCCAACTCAATCCACGCCCACCCCCATGGTTGACCTTCCTGACCTACCTGATCCAGCCTACAACTTCAACACTCTCCTCGCCAATGAAATCAAGTTATTGACTGAGTGAGATTTAGATAAGTAGATGCAAACACAAAAATCAAATATTCACAACTACATGCTTGACAACCAACATTCCTTAACACATATCAATTCAAAAAGGATTTACACTCTGGATGTTAGATGCAAGTGAAACAGGACTCACAAACACGTCAACAGGAACACAAACCAGATAACATTTGTTTTTGTTCTTTTGTTTGTTTCTTTGGTTTTTTTTTTTTGGTTTTTTTTGCAATTTCCCTTTAAGATCTGAGGCTGCTCCCCTGAACTTCCCGTCTTTGGACCTGAGTATCTTGTGACACAAACTTAGTTAACTCTGCTGGATTTATCACCTAGTAAACAGTAAAGGTGTGTGGGTGGGTGAAGGATGCAATAGGTCTGTCCATATGTATATATGGTTATAAGGATAAAAGCATATACACATATATATATCTATATATCTATATATAGATATATATATGTGTGTGTGTTTTTTATTCTCATAACACGCTTATTAAACTTTATTGAAATGGATATCTAATGATGACAAGACACTGTCAGTTCTATGTAGCAAAAAGTTCTCGTGAAGTTACACAACACACAGGAGAGAATTAACGGCAACGTCACACAGGCATGGTCACCAGAGATTATCCCATTCTGCGTCACACTATTCTTGCCATATGTTGCAACACCAGCTAAAACTGAATGTATCGTGAATGTAATACCTGTCTGGTGAACACTTGGATGTAGGTCAATTTGTTGTCACGTCATGTCATTCTTGCCTTTCATGTCAACAGAGTTGAGTACATTCAAAACACATTTAGTTATAGTATTTCTCTTGTATTCAACTGTGGCCAAAGCTGCTGCTGAACAAAGGATGTGGTAAAAAAAGAAAAGAATTAAAAACAACTTATTTCTATTGACATAGAAGTTGTTCACTGTAACTAAGTGATGTGCATACGTGTTTAGCCAATTCTGTTTTTATATTTTACATATCTGCATGTAATCTACAGATATATTCCGGAATAATCTTTCAAATCTGAGGGAATTGTTTGAAGAGTTAGGACAGGTTTAAGAGAAAAGTACTGCTGTGACATATTGCAACTGCCCAAGTGACAAATTGCTCGTAATGTTTAAGATAATTTAGTCTGTCAAATGTGAAATTGTTATTTTACAACAACAAAAACGATACAGTTTAAACTGATACATACAAAATATTGAAGAAACTGGACAAGTAGAAGAAAAAAAAAAAGAGGTGGCAGGTCAAGGTGCATGTTCTCAGAGTGTCTGGCTTAAGTCTAGGTCTAAGAGTAGCAAGGGTTTATCACAAGAACGAAGCAATAAATCCGGTCCTTTAGGTTAACTTCCTCTTGTTTGGCCTCTGAAGAGTCTGAAATCTGTTTAAAATACTACAGTTAAATTACAGAATTCCTGTTTATGGTATTACACGTGGGATCAATACCTTGTTGTTTTAACTGTTATAACATAGGAAAACACAGTATGTCATTTGACACTGTGTAACAAATTTCAACATTGTAACTTTCATAAATGGCTTAGCTAGAAGAGGACAGGGACATTATGTATTATTTTGCACCGTGGGTTTAAGGACTGAAATTTCATTGTGCCATATGTCCTGTACATACGGCATAGTTGACAATAAAGTTGACGTTGACTTGGATGTTGTGTTGTTAGCCGCATGTTGAATAAGTAGTTTGACTGGTGAAATTGGCTCAGGTTTGATGTCTGTATATATCTGTTCGTCAGTCACACAGTAGTGTGCACTGCTATCTAAGGAAAGGAATGAGAGTACGTAAGAATCTACTGATGACACTGGTTGTTTGGCCACATTAGTTATGAACAGATGGAGGGAATATTAGTCCAATCACTAAAAATGAATCTTTCTACTGCGGAGCCACAGGTTCCTGACATGTGGCCCAGAAACATCTAAATTTCAAAGAACAGCTTAGCGATGTCTGTTACAAATGATCCCAAAGGATTACTTTAAGATTAGCTGAACTTTTAATCTTATGCTGTTATGGAAACACCGACGGCCATGAAACAGTGTTAAACTGGTGAGAACCACTTTTTTCTATGGTTTTCTGTGGACATTTTTATCTTGGTTCACACCTGTCTTTCCTTAACATCCGAACTTTTCACATCAATGGTATGACATAAAAACCAGACGAGGCCAAAAACACGTATGCGCACCACCACGCATAAAAGCCAACCTGCCTGCAACTGTAATGTTTTTCCTACCACACAGCAGAGTTGTTTTGGCATCACAGCCCATCAATATAAACATCCCTTTCTCCATTACTCCAGCAGGCCGCTTCTGCTTTTGATCCACACTATGTCTAGCACTTTATGATAAACCGATGCATTTTTGTTTTGTTAAAGTTTAGGAAACCGACAGTGTTTCAAACCCAAAACGATGCCTACAAACAAAATATACCTCAAAAATAGTGACTTCACTGCCACATTGAACCTGATATGCAAACAGAGAAAACATATCAGCCAAGAATCTCATGGTTTTCAAATGGCCCTTGATTTACCAGCTGTTTTTTTTTTGTTTGTTTGTTTTTTTAAAAGTAGTTGTGTATTTTTAGACCTCTTGTTTTTTAAGCAATTTGTAAATATTTAGATAATGAAGTGCATGCAGATACATAGCCATCCAAACTAGAATGACTAAAACAATTCCCAATTTACATGTAGAGAAATAAATAAGCTATTGTGGACAAATGAATTTGTACAGACATAGAACACAGAGAATAAAAATTTGGTGCTGACTTTTCAGGATGTTAGTTTTTGCCTTCTTTGCCTTTTCTGTTATTTTGGTATGTTACATATAAAAAGATTAATCTATATTTTTACATTTTCACAATAGAGAGTATTTCCTAAAAAACAACAACAGGGATTTTAGCGGTCAAGCACAAACTCATACCAAGTCTGAACTGTGCCACATACCGATGTCTATGTGATTAGGCCTGTAACCCCTTCTGTTGAACACAACTCAGGGAAGCAGCCTTGATCTCACCCTTGACCCCAGAAAATAGTAGAATAAACTCCTCTGAGCTGGACACATAAAAAAACCCTGACACAGACACAAACATGAAACATTGAATAAGAAGTTTGTAAACTACTGTATTGGACAATGTGGTGTATATGGGTTACATGCACTTTTTCTTTGCTAATTTTAAATCTATCTCCTTGGTAATGTTTTAATTTATGATATTTTCAAGAAGGATTGTGTTTGAACTAATATTGTTGTTTGTTTTTGTAAGTGAAATCGCTGTGAAAACCTGACCTTGGATTTTTTCCTTTTTGTGGCCCAGTTTACTTCAGTATTTGCTCTCAGTGCTGGCAGACCTAAATTTATTTGTTAAACGTACAATAACAAAGGAATTCATTACTGCAGGAAAAAAAGACAAAAGATGGTATGACCCCAGGAGCTGACCTCTGGATCATACTAATGAATAGTTTTAGAAACAATCATGTTAATTACTACGTGTGGGATGTGTGAAGGGGCTCGACAAGTCATGGTGTCTGTTTAGGGCATAAAATTTATGCACATTAAGCAATGGGATCTGCCCTTCACCACTACCAAAAAATGCTTTAAATCGTAGAAAAACGACAGAACAGAATTTACTGGTATCTTACATTAAGATTTTTTTTTTATTTATTTGTTCTTTTTTATTTTTAGACAGTTTTTTTTTTTCAGCTATAAGCACAAAGTAGAGTCACAGCCCATCCTGCGAACTCTGGGCCGTTGGTTGATGCTTCTTAGGATGCACCAAATCACCAAACTACAATTAACTTTAAATTTAATTTAATTTTTTTTTTAATTTGCTGTGCGATGTTCTTCTCAAATGAAAACTTGAACGAACAGGGATCTCTTCGGGCCAGACCAAACAAAAAGGAAAAAAACCTTGTAGAGAGTAGAGTAGAGTAGAGTAGGGCTTTATTCATCCCCCTTGGGGGAAACATACTAGTAGTAGTTGTAGTTGTAGTTGTAGTTATATCTAGACTCAGGTGATCACAGCGTTTCCACCCAGAGAATAACAAAATCACAGTGACTGTGGGGTCGTTCAGGTGGAGCCGGCTTTTATAATCAACTATCCTGACAAACAAACTGTGAAATCTGCCGCCATCAACCTTCCAGATGTAGAAGCCCATTCAACCCTTTTAGACGTGCAGAAGTACATGCTGTTGTTATTCTGTTTTGTTTTTGTTTTGTTTTTTGTCCTTTGGAAGTCTGGTATTGTGGACTGTCATTGTTTCACAGGTGTAGACGAAAGATGTCACGTCACTCAAAAGCTGTCAACGTGGGTCAATTCTTCTCTTACAGCCCATTTATCATCCATACATTTTGGGAACATATCTTTTCTCGCTACTAAAATACTTTTTTGTTCTGTAATTCTCTAAGTAAGGGTCCTGGCTCGGCTGGGTTTCCTAATGGGTTCTAAGAAAGTTGGTGAGGGAAAGTTGGGTACCACATACAAATGACACAAGGACCCACTGAAGTGTGTGTATGTGTGTGTGCGTGTGTGTAAATAATGATTAAATATTTGCTCTAAGTGTATCAGTGTGTGTGTGGTACTCGACCAGGTCTGGAGTATATGTTACAGGAGGACATCTGGGCTGGTCTCTGTACACATCAGTACAACAGAGCACGAGGTCACTATTTAATTCTTAACTGCTGCTAATGTGCATTTGGCTCAGAAAATTAAAAAAGGGAATATAATGGGAGCCGAGCGTTTCCATGTTGTTTCTGCCTCTCTGTCTCAACACATTAATTTAAATGCCAAAAATGAATAATTTTTGCTGTATAATTCAGTACTAATAACACTAGCAGTGAGATGATTTCAGAAGTAATTCTTTTTGATATGAATAATAAAATGTGTCAGAATTGTTCACACGTGGGGTTTAACAGAAAAACACAGTGTTTTGGCTCAAGTGATACTGATATGATGCAAACACTCTGGTGACTCTCTGGTATAAATGTTATAAATGGTCATGGCAGTTTATTGACGGTGATTTGAAACTGCCAGATGAAGTTGAGAAAATACAGTGTGTGTTTTAAAAAGAAGAAACAAAGGTCACCCGAACTCTGTGTCATTCTGACAGTGTTATAAAAGTTTGTGTCATTAACAACAAAGAAAAAGGCAAAATGTTGTAAATATATATTCCTCCTTTTTTAGATTAAAATAAAGATGGGTCGTTGAAGCCAAAGGAAAATGTGTTTTTGTCCTTTATCTTGATTAATGTCAGGTTATTACATTGATATTTAATGTATTTAACTAGAGTAAGTCATTATTTTTAACTGTTACTAGCACATTAAAGATATATTCTCATTCGTCTTTAGTGTCAGTAATAGTGTCAGTACTCTGTTCAGCAGTTTACTACATTCTTGTTGGAGATGTGATGAGAATTGAAGGATTACCAGGATCTGAGATCAGCAGACTTTCCACCAGCTGCAGCAGATTCTGGACGGGTTTGGTCAGATGGTGGTGTGGTATCAGTTGGCCCGTCTGCAGGGTCCTGCTGCCAAATCCCAGTGCCTAGCACGCAGACACAACAGCTGCAGTTCTGGGATTCTAGGAAAGAAACTAATAACCATTATACCAACAATAATAAACTGATGATGATGAATCCCAGCCTCAGTCTGATACGTTTAACAAGTTGCTAAGAAATACAAGATATAGCATAGTACATCATTAGCTTTGGGTAATTTGGGCTAGAATTTTTTTAACTTATTTTAAGGAACCTATCAATAATGTGGCTAACCTTTTAAGAAGCTGAAACACGTAATTATTTGATCATTTTAAATATTTATTTCATGTTATTTTAGGCTAGTTTTAGTTTAACAGTCCCTTTCATTTCAACGTATTTTGAGACTATAGAATGCATGTACATGTCAACACGGTGTTGAATTTAGCTTTTATATGACTAAATCTGGAATAACATACAATTCACCCCCACAAAGAGAATGATTTACACTGAGATTCTCTCAATAATAACTCATCCTGGCAAAGATATTTTAAATCTAGAGTGATGCAACCCAAAATGAAGCCATGGCACAGACAAGTACAGGGCTGAAACCAAAATTATCATCATGCACCACTACATAAAAAGGAAAAGTGATTATATCCCTTTGCTTGTCTTGAATCTTGTGGCTGTGTCACAGAGTTTGTGAACCAATTCTCCTCTCTGACCTCCCTGTGGAGAAAGGCAGAGCAAAGCGGATTTTTCATAGCCACCGAGACAGCTGTGAAAAAAGTGCACCAACACTGGCTGGATCTGCATTACTGCCTGCTGTTGTGTCTTAGCAAAATGTTGATTTAATTTAACCTTGAACCTCCTTAGCCCTCAAGGATGTAGGTTTTGCTGTGTCCTCATTATAGAACCTCCAGTACAATCAGTGTTAAAGATACACTAGCTGCTTTGTCTGTTACCTGACACAAGACCTTCTGCTCATTTATCCCACTCTGTACAAGGACCGAACGCAGACAAAGCAGGAACACAGTCTGAAGTCTGAGTGTGCAGCCATTCATTAGCTGCGGCCAAATCCTTACCTCGCCTTAAGGCTTTACCTGTGGTTTAAGTGATAATCTCATTTGAGATAGCACCCAGCAACGGGGGGGATAAGAAACTGTGTCACTGTGTCAAACTGTATCCTTAAAGTCTACTGTAGTGTCACCACCATGTCTAGCGCCTCACCTTTGCCTCAATCATAAAACAACAAAATGGCCCAACAGTAGGCCAGACAGTGGGCCAGATAGTGGGCCAGACAGTGGGCCAGACAGTGGGCCAGTGCCTGAGCAAACTACTGATTCTCTGATCATAAAGCAGGAGTCCGTTTTCAGGTCAAGAACCAGGTCAAACCCTGAGCAGGTTGAGGAAGTGGTTAAGGAAGCAGACTTGGGTCCTGAAGGCTCCTGGTTCAAGTCCACCAGCTGCCATGTTACCACTGAGGTGCCCTGAGCATGGCACCGTCCCCACACACTGCTCCCTGGGCGCTCCAAAAGCTGCCCACTGTTCACTTTGGGGATGGGTTAAAAACACAGGTCACATTTCGTTGTGTGTGCAGTGTGTTGTGTCACAATGACAATTAATTCACTTCATTTCACCTTCTAGCAGACAGTGTTCATGGAACATCAGAGTTTACAGAGTCCTAGGCAGACTGGCATTTATCTCAGATCCCACTAATATGCTAAGTATTTACAACACGTGTTTCCCTGCTGTTGCCTATTATAGTATAACTGCATCAAACATTTTCTTGACAGTTTGACAACATTCCAACAAATAATTAACTCATCCAACATAGTTTACCATTTTGTTTTTTGATGTTTACTTAAAGGACAAGACATTGGAAGAGTTTGGAAGCTAAGAATGGACAGAGAATGTCACAGTACTGTGTCGCTAAATTCACTTACCTCAATTCTGATGAAATTTTTATCACTTTGATATTTTCTTTAAAAAAAATGTTTATGTCTGTGTAGGTTCTTTGTCATTCAGGTAAATTTATCCCCAAATAGTTACATCGAGGGCAACTGGACAGAGTAATTTTTTTTTTTTTTGAAGAGGAGGCATTTAGCCTCAAAGGAGCTGCACACCCATAACGAGGGTCGTTGCAGAAGGGGCGGGGGTGGGGGGGCGGAGGTGTGGTTCCACCCACCTTATTCAAAGGCGGGTGGAATGTAAAGTCACCAGGTTAGAGGTGTGAATGGGGAGTGATACCACAGCTATAGACTGATCCTTTCACCTGAGCGACACTTTTTGCTGGATGTCCTTTGAAATGAAAACTTGGTCTTGTTGTCAAGGAGGGGGTTGAATCTTTTGGGGAGAGAACTCAGGACGACGTTATAGGTAGATGAAAGGTTGTGTCTCAAACCACCTCCTCTACTGAGAGGTGGTTTCTCCTGATTAACGTAGATGGCTTCCTTCACCCTCTCTTAAACCACTCGTCTTCTCTGGTGAGGATATGCACATCCTCATCTACAAAAGAGTGTCCTTTGTCCTCAAGATGTAAATGAACCGCTGAGTCCTGCCTCTGAGGAGCTTAGTTTTTTAGTTTACTTCCTCTGTGACCCAGAATATGACACAGCCATCTCATCACTTTCAGGCAGAGAGAATTATGAGAAAAAATAATATGTTATTTATTGAAATCAATGAATAACATAAAGGCCCACTGTGGGCTATTCATGTTTTGTTTTTTTTGTTTTTTTGTGGCCCACCCCGGGCCAGAGGTTGGGGAGTTCTGCTGTAGACGTGTAATCATGCTCAGAGTCAGGAATAGCTCTGGAAACTGTGTCGTAGCTAACAGCCTTAGTTCAGTATATGTAGGTCAGCAGTTTTGACAGAGTGAAGTGGTGCAGATGCTGCACAGTCAGAGATGCTGCCGCAGTGGTCTCTGCTCCAAAGCATGTCAGTCTAAATCTGAGCTTTAGCTTTCAGATCACACAGCAAGACCGCTCCGCTAAATATAGCATCCGTGACCTTATTTTGTACAGTGAGCTGTTGGAGATTATGATGTATTGGTGATGTCATTCTTTTTTAAATTCGCTCTAAGGTTGAATCGCACAGCAGAGCTAAAATATATAATTGGAATTTGGAAAAATGCCTTTTTTTATACCAGATTTAAAAAGATAAAAACAAACATTTTTTTGTGACAACACAAACCGTATGAATTCTCTGGCAGCATCCGTAAGCCTCCATGAGATTTCAGCATTTCCTACAGCATGAATAAAATATAACAACAATGAAATGGAACGGCACGTACTATATAAAAAAGATACTTGATTACACAGCAGAACCATACAATACTGTATACTCACATGTCCCACATGAAGCAAAGGATTTTGTAGCATTGTGTGGTCCACCTGGTCTCCAACCCCTGGTCCGGGGACCAGTGCTAGTCCATAAATTGTTTGGTACTGGGCCACAGAGGGACACAGTAAAAAAAATGTATTGAGTTTTACTAATTTACTTCATTCAAAGAAAAGCTGGCGATGTTTTAAAACAACAGGTCATTCACACTCTGATGCTAACAGAAGAAAGTCTGAAAGATGTTTTATTTTGAAAATGTAATGATACATACAAAAAACGGTACAAAAAACGTTGGGGACCAGTGTCCTATCTGGTATTCAGAATGTGGGCCACAGACTTGACTAAAACATAACAATAGTCAGACATTGTTTGATCAAACACAGGGCAGAACTATGTGGACCACATAAATGTGGTCTGGCCCAGTGCATTTAAACCCATTGAATGCAAATTGATCTGGCCCATATGGTAAGACACTGAATTTCCCCACTGTGGGATGAATAAAGGACCTCATAATTACCACGTGGGCCACATCAATGTTATCTGACAGACACTAAAAACTGTTTTAATTGTCCTAGATCTTCCAACAGTCCTTGTCTGGACCAAATGAGTCTGATTAAAAATAGTCCAAAACTTTCCAAACTGCCCATCTCCTGGCTTGGCCTGATAAACCTGTTCTGAATAAGAGAAACTTTTTATTCGTCTTTGTTCACACAAATGTACACACAACAGAATGTTCTCCTCTGTATCTAACCCACCTACGGAACAGGAGCAGTGCGCAGAACTTTGCAGCAACCGGAGGGAAGGGGAGTTTTTTTTTGTTGCTTGCAAACGCACCACAGCCCGGGCGGGGATTCAAACTGGCACTCCTCTGATCACGAGCCTGATTCTTAAATCGCTAGCAGTCTGTAGCAGCCAGTGGCAGAGCGCTCTCCGCCCCCTAAATAAAATATATATCTAATTTTTTTTTAGTATTGTTTGTTAACAGGTGATAATGCCAACCTCCCATCAGCCACCTGGTGCTCCATATGACTGAAGAGCCTGACTAACAGACATCACTGTTTAACATAGAAAACAACATGATCATAAATTCCAACGTTATCACATTAACACACAGAGTCACAGGATGACACACCAGAAAGCACAGACCGGTCACCGCCCAGGCTGACAAATCCAAGTGAGAAACCTCTGCTCCACAGCGCTGCATGACAAATTACAGACGACACATAAGCCACACACTCAGGAGGTGGAATAAGGAGTGGAACTGCAGATACGAGGAGTCCAAGCGGAAGAAGAAAGTGTGCTCCTAAATTATTCTGTGAAGCATGTAAACAGAGAGTGTGACCTTGAAGTCTGCACATGACTGCAGGAGGGATTCAAGGGAGAAGAGAGGAGGAAGAGGGGGAGGAGGGGGAGTGGAGAGGGGGGTGGCTCAACGCCATGACAGACTGAGGAGCTCCATGTGTTGCTGTTGTTGCTGTTCAAATGTCGACATTTCAACATTTACAGAGTCAGGTTTTTCTTCATGCAAAAACTGAGTGTAAGAAAAGGCAGAGGGAACAGTGGAACTCCTGACTGAACAAATGGACACATTTATGCCATGACTTAAGCAGTCTGTAATTGAGCTCATCTGGCTCCACTCTGCTGCACACTTCAGTGGAAACTGGGACTAAGACAGAGGCTCCGAGCAGGCCAGAGGATCCAGCCACGTCACAACAGCAACAGCAGCAGCAGCAGCAGCAGCACTCACACAGCTGTGGGTGTGTGATCATGCTTTAGCTGTACTTGTGGAAACAACTTTGGAAAATGACTATTGTAGTGGGTAAACTTCCACGTGGGGATGCCTGCGGTGAAGGGGGGTGGGGGTATAAACAGGATTCCAAAGACACTATTGTTTGGTCTTGGATAAACTTTTTCTTTTTTTTTACAAATTCTATCTCCCTCTTCAACTGTCCAATTCTCCACAGCCATGCTAACCACCACCAGCAGCAGCAGCAGCAGCGGCGGCGGCAGCGGCAGCGGCGGCAGCGGCCACCTAATGACACAGTGAACTGAGAAAGCCTTTAATAAACAGTGTCCTTCAATGACAGTGAACCACAGTCTTCATACTGCAGTCTTTTCCTGAACGAAAGGAAAGTCTTCCAAACACCAACTAGTATGTGATTCAGAGAGAGAAAGGAAAAAGTTGATACTCACCGTGCACTAAAAGGAAATAACCATTCTCAAAAAAAGAAGAAGAAGAACAAGGACCATTTTGGCTAATGTTCAGCTACCAGAAAGAATCATCTCTGTTAGTTTAAGGCTGTTTCTGTGATTTTATTTTTGTTTCCGAGTTTATTACTGGTTAAGACGATGCCTATATTTAAAAAAGATAACTTTTACCTTTCCTTGGGCCAACTTTAGCTGTTTCATCACTCCAGACCTTTGCCTTAAACTGTGCTGAAATCATTGATTTTGGACAATTTCTAGCTCTCTGTGTGTTAATGTAGACCAATTTTAAAGATTTCTGGTCAATCGTGAGCTGTTTTTACTCGTTGGGGGCTAGATGTAGCTATATTTAAATATATTTTGGTTCACTATACTATTGTCTAGTTCTCAATACATTTATTTTCAAATTACTCAAAGTTAGCTGTATTTGTTTTAGCCATTTTTAGCAACTTTCTGTTAGTGATCCTTGCTTGTTTCTTAGCCAACGTGTAGCTAATTTTCTTAACTTTTAATTAACATGTTTTGGCCTATTACAGCTACAGTACTTCATGGTTAACCGCCAACTACATTCCTTTGTCTGGTATGTAGGGAGCAAACAGACTTGTAACAGTGAAAAAGTCCCAGCCACCAAAATCTGGCCTTGGTTAACACTGGACTTCCGCTCACCTTGCAGGCTGAAAAAATAAATAAAAAAATAAACTACAAAAAATTCTACAAACGTGGTGGCCTGGAGGGACTGAAGCTCACTAAGAAGCTGTGAGCTCCTCTGCAGAGGCCGAGTGTTGAGGCCCATCCCTGTAGATAAATCCCTGCAGGGAAGGATCTCACCACATGCTCCTCTCTCCGTTCTGTGTCTGTCAGGGAGGATCCGACCATGCAACCACCCTCTGATGATCTGTCCTACATCTGCAGAGAAGAACTAGACCAGAGCCAAAGGAAATGCTACGGTTACATAAGGAGAAGGAGAAGGAGAAGGAGACTGCTGTTGTCTTATTTGGAATCCAGAGAGGGGGAGAGGAGGTAATTTGATTTCCAGCTGTTCCTCTGACTCCTGACAACACAGCCACATGACGCTGACACGGCTGTGTCTGCTGCTGCCAGTGTAGAAAACGTGGCTGACACTGCCGCCTAGTGTCAATATTTAGATAAAACATCAGCAGCACCCTGTGGCAGAAAGTGAAACCGTTTCACAACACAGGTTTTATTCTATAATTTCCGTTGTTTGAAAATTAAATGGATGTGAGGTGTGTGTGTGTGTGTGTTTTGGGTTTTTTAAAACTTTATTGACTGTTTTAACCTATGGCTGTGTTGCTTGTTTCTCGTGCCATACTTGTTAGCCATGTTTCAGCCCAGTGAACACAACATACTTGTTTATTTGATGTGTGTTGTTTATTTTGTAAAAAAAACAAAAAAAAAAAACTGTTGCATTTAAAATACATGTGATTGCACAAACAACTCTGATGCTACTGTTGGCAATAATTGCATAATTCTAATTCCTTTATTCCTTTTTAGTCATTCTAATGCCTTTAATACTTTACTAACTAAAATGCTCTGCGCTGCTAAACCTGTCTTCTGTGATAAATGTCATAACAGCAGTTAAATCAAACATATGGATCATAAAATATAAATCTTTACTAATTGTTTAGTTCAACAACATCCTGACATACCGACCAGTATTTTCCAACTGATTTCTAATATACAGTACATTTATCTAAAATAAAATAAAAAAACATAGTCACATAAATAACAGATATATGTGACTACAATACCCTGTAAATGTTTTGTTTGTTTTTTTTACTGCAGTTTTCCTGGTCACTCTTTCTTGCGCAGGTGAATGTATACGACACCACTGCACAGCAGCAAAGGGACACACACCCAGGCCAGGATGAAGCAGTAGCCGAAGTGTCCTGAAGTCAGTTCTTTGGAGCTGGGAAGGATCTCCTTATGGTGTAGTGAGTAGATGAGAGCCGCGGAAAATGCAGTGAGACCTTAGAAAAAGGAAGTAACATGACTTAAGTAATTCAGTTTTTGTAGTGTAAAAGATTTAAACAGAAAACCTAGAATTTTATTTAGCTGCACACTTTAAACATTATTTAGCTTTATACATTTCCTTTCCAATGCTAATGACTATGATTTAACTATAATTTGCAGTGAGTTGAGTTTTAGTGGCAACTTTATTTAACTTAAATCATACGTGTTCCTGTGCAGTGAAGTGTCATTTCCTGCGTTTTGGGATTCAACTCTGTTAAACAACATTTTGTAGAAAACCTCTCTTGCGGTTGAAGTCAACTTAACAAGTGTTAAAATGACTCAGTCACACAATCACACACAACACCAGGTCTGAAAATTAGGTGGCATGCATACGACAACACTGAGTCTAGACCTGCTGGAGATTTCTTCTAGTGAAAAGGAGGATTTTTTTTCTCCCCACTGTTGCCACAATGCTGCTCAGTGTCTGAGGTCATTTGAATTTCAATAATATTAATGAACCTTAGTCAGACTTTTCCTGGTTAGTAAAGCAGAGTCTTACCATCGTAAACCTTTTTACCTGCGAAGACTTGACAAAGTCCAGTGAAGTAGAAGAGTCCACCCTTAGACATGGTGAACAGTTGTCCCAGGAAGACCAGGAAGGAGACAGAGGAGAAGACAACAGAGAGTACCATCAACACCTGCACTGCCTGGAGCCACTCTGGTGAAAGGAAAACAAGTGATTTTTATTTTATTTTATTTTTTATTTTTTGCTGAACTACCCATAGAAAGGGTGTGGAGAAATTGATATGTATTGAAAGAAAACAAACACCAGTTTCTTTGGAGGATGCACACAGCCAGGTTCCTGTGAAGTTGTCGAACCTGCAGTTGTACCACAAGTCAGAGTTCTCCATGCCATCCCACACCCACCAGGACTTTAAAGAGAGGAGATAGATAAATATATAACACTTAAATTCTAACAGCATCATTCAGCTACTGCAATAAAAAAACCAAACCAACAAAAAAAAAAAAAAACTCAGAAGCTCAGTTATCTTTTTGCATTGTGGCCCATGTTAATTGGTTATATGTATACAAGATCAAAATATATGTATATATTTTCTAATATATATCTATATATATACATATATATATATGTATATTTAGCAAATCACAAATTTAATCTAATTGAGGGCCACCGAAAACAATTTCAAGGGCCCTGATTGGTCCAAGAGCCAGGCTTTGGACACACTAGTAACTACAGTATGTTGTGTATTTCACCTTCTCCATGGTTGCAATGAACAGCATGGCCAGGGTGATGAGATGAAGCAGGGTCACAAACATTACCAGGTATGCCATTTTCAGTGTGCTGGAGCAAAATAAGAAAAAAAACACCGATTCATTTACTGTAGCTCCTTTTATTTATGTTTACAGATTGAGAATCTGTGCAGGATTTTCCTGTTCTTGCCTTGATGTAAACAGGGCTAAAGCTGAACACAGTGCACCCTGTGTTTTACAGTATGAGTTCATGCTTCAAAAGGGTTCAGTGGGTTCATGTTTCAGAATTCTCCTTGACTGGCCTCAGTGTTATACATGGTACAGCCAATCTTTACAGAGCGTGGGCAGGTCTATGGAGTCTAAATGATGCCAAAATATTCATGCAATCAAAGCCTATGCTACCTTTTAACTGAATGTTGTGAAGAGTCTGTAATTTAGGTAACATTTTGGTTTCATTAAATCTGCTCCACTCATAAAGTAAAAGAAAAACAGCCTTTATAGCATTTCAACCTAGAAAAAAAGCATGAAAAACAAGTCACGTAGGCTTCCCAATATTCAGGCACATGTTCTTAAGGAAAAGCATTTAGGGGAATATGAAACAGGATGAAATAGTCCATGAAAAGATCTTTATCTTAGGAGAGGTACAGCACATTTGGGTGGGCAGTGGAGTCAAGATTACTCTTAATTGCACAATCTGACCACTGGAGATGTAATCTTTCATGTAAATTTTTTTAAAAGAGAATCCCGTAAATAAGTGCAATTAAAAACTGATGTTTCAAAAATCTACAGAACAGAAAGGTCATGAATACATTTGCTGAATTTATTCATGCTATAAATTTATAAAAGAATATATTTTAAATCCATATCAAATCTCTGAATTGTATTTTTATTGCTTCCCATTCATTTTAGGGTGTGTGTTATAGGATATTTTAATCAAGAGCCACTTCGTTGACTCGCCTGCCTAGAACCTAATGGATTCACATCGTAGTTAAAGAAGTATAAGAGTCAAGAATCAAGAAAGGTTTTACTCACCACGTTAGGATCTCAAATGTAAGTTAGCAGCGTTCTCACTACTCTACTACGCTCCAACCCTCTTGGTGGTCCTCTCCTTTCGGGCAGTGCCACACCTCCCTATATTTTTTCAAGCACCCCAGCCAAACTTTCCGAGGAGAACGCCCATTTCCTCTGAGCAGAACAGTGCTCCCTTTTCCTCAGCCTCACAGTCCCTCAGAACAACATCACCGTCCCAAAAAGAGTCCAGTGAGACCCGCCCAATAGGCTACAGCGGAGCTGAGGCACGTAAACCACATGAAGAGATGTGCTCTTTAAACAGTCTGCTGGACGTGCTCCCACAATGAGCATTTTGCCATCCCTTAACCAAATATTCACAAGGTGACTCTTTGTAGAGTGAATGTGAAAAATAAACACAGAGCTGCAACATAGCTGACATTTCTGCACCGGATTATTATGGGCATTCGGAGAACACTGGTCACAATGACAAACAACTGGGTGGGACACACCAGGCAAACATGACCAATTTCATAAACAGGAGCAGGGTCAGCAGAGGGTTCAGCAAAACAGAGTATTAAGCTCTAGTCCTTCACATCCATAGTAAACAAACAGTAAATGGCCCTGTGCTATGCTAACCTTACTGTTAATGTCTTTAAAACCACCATGTTCTTCTGAACCTTCTGGACTAAAAATTTTTTTTTTTATTGATGCAATATACAAGTAAAATACACTTTTTATAACTTCAAAAATATTTTTGACACATTTTATTTGTTTATTTGACTTTTAGCTATGTTTGTGGTTTAAGCGACCCACTGAGTCAGTTTTTCTTATTGTCATCCTTTTTTGGCTAACTTTGATTACTTTTGCTAGATTTATTCATTTGCGTGTTTTGATTAAAGGTCACAATTAATAACGTTTAATCAGCAGCACAACATTTAGTTAACTTTTTTCTATATACCCATTTTTAATTGATTTTTTTTGTCTGCTAACTGGTATCTATCATTGGAATGTTTTTAAATAACTTTCATCTTTTTTCTTACTTGTTTTTAGACTAGTATCACACCAAATCAATAACCATGTTACAAAATGTAAACCCACAAACGTTTAGTAAACTAAATAGCTCATGTTAAAACTGAAGGCTAGCTTTAACTCACTGGCTGATGTTGTCAGTCAAATTTTTGATCATATTTTAACTAAAGAAAATTATTTTGAACCTAAACTTCAAACTTGTATAAATTAGCGCTAAAATGCACATTTAAATTATTCCTTGGAGAAGACGACACCATAACCAGGTTATCACTCAACAACAACAGCACCCTTGGTTAGATACGTGGAACCTTAACTCTAATTTAGCACTGCCAGATATATTACTAAATATCATGAGTGAATCATGACCATCAATATGTTGACAAACTAATACAATATTAGAAATGTTTATTTCGTAGTCGAAACCGGTCAAATCTGACGAAGGCCCGCACCCCTGCGTCTGGTAAATGGTACAATCCGTTGCCTAGATACGAGTAGAAGCCGATTCATTCAGCCACGCCTTTCCAAAGCTTTTATATTTTCTCAAGGCTCTTTAGGACCGAAGACCCGCCTGAAGCTCTTTTTTGATTGGATTATGTCCAGAAAAGCCGACAGATGATTGGTTTACGCTGAATACGAGCCAATGAGAAACTGCGTAAAGGCGGGATATTGCCCAGCTGGGGTGGGATGAAATAACGGAGGTTTAAAGCAGCGTATGCTTTTCTTGGCGTATTTACACTCAGAAAGGTGAGATAAACTGGGTTTTTAAACATTGTCTTGGACTTTATCTCCTCGAATAGATACGATGAAAATGACAGTTTTTATTATGGACATTAACAACACGACGGTGCTCAGCAGTATGTGCCAGGCGGTCGCTGTAGGTCGCTATGGCTGCTCTCAAAGAGCTGTCTCGTGCTTAAGTGAAGCCATGATAAGTTTTAGGAAAACTTTGCTAACTACTTAGCACAGCATGTAAACACAGCTAGCCGTTGTCCATCGGGTAATTAACATCAGGCGTTTGAAGAAAAGTGTCCTGCTAAGCAAAAAGCACAATTTCCTTTATTGAGCATGCGTGAGCCAAAAGGAATGTAAGTAATTGTTTTCCAAAAAGTCTTTCGCTCCTCCTCGTCAGACATTTTGGGAAGAGTGGTGTTGCTTCGAATTAAAGGTTTAAAATCCTAAAACTGTGTGAAGGCGGCACCTAACAGCCCAGATAAGTGTCGGTACAAGTGCACACACTTCAGTGAAATGCAGATATTTTAAATAAACGCAAATGTAGATTATCTGACGTTTGCGACAAGAACATCTCATATATGGTAATTTATGGTATTACTAAATGATAGCACTCAACAAAAACTCAATATAGAGTAGGAGCATGTGGCTTTGCATAGCCCCGGGTGATGCTTTGTGTCATAAAATGCATGTGTGTGTGTCATTGACATTGAAAGCTGAGGCAGCTGATTATACCTGCAGGTCCAAACATGACAGTATTGTTTTGCATGCCTTACAGGGTAAGCCAAGCACATGAGACCGTGCCATGGATGAACTGCTACAACAGTTGGAGTGTAAACAGTTGGGGATGTGTTGATCTTGGCACATAGAGATTTGAGTCTTTGGAGTACCATGTAGTAGACTCCGGACCAAAACAACCACAACAGTTGCACGCAGCTTCAGCAGACCTAAGACATAAACATGGATCATGAAGAGGTAACACTTTGCTGAAGATGTTATTTGTGCACAGACTGTACACTGTAGTCATTTACCTAAGAAGGTATTTTCACTCCTGCTTGTTTGCTTTTGTTTTTGTTTTTTATGTCTACTGCACCTAAAGAATGCTGGAAACTGGTTGCCAAATGAAGCCACATGTTAATTGGTAACTTTCAGTGAGCTCTGGTCTCTGGAAATAGATTATATTTCTTTGTACATGTAGTAATTATTTCCTGAAAAATTCTAACATCGAACTGTTAACTCTCGGGTTACTTTGGTAAAATGTGCTGCAAGTTTTGTAATTCAGAGAAAAGTGTGAAATAAGACAAGGGGACAAAGGGAATGTGCTGTGAGTACCAGCTCTAGGAATTCACTTTTGCTCCTTCTGTTATGTTTTGTTTTGTGAAAGGAAAACAAGTGGTTTTATTTTTTTTATTTTTTGCTGAACTACCCTTAGAAATGACCCTTTAGTTAGTTAAAGAGAAAATTAAATTGTGGTAATTCTGTTTTTAGTGGATTTTTAGTGGAAAACATTCTTACTTCTTTATTTTTTATTTTCTGAGCTTCTTCTTGTTTTCTTGACTTTTCATTTATCCCCTGGTCATACAAGTCTAGACCATTTGGTGTGATGTGTAAGTACATCACATTGTGAGACATGATACCAAGCTTGTAACAATACGTTGAATGTTGTTGGAGGGGGCGATCACTCGTGGGGTAGTTTAAATGCTGCATGTGGCTCTGCTCAGGTTACAAAGGCAGACAAAGTGCAGTGTTGAATTCAGTGACAGGTGTTTAGAGCTGGCATGCTGCTCAGATGTTGTGTGCATCTCCTATGCGTCCTACAAACGGATCAGCTTTCAATGAGACTTGTGGCCTTGAACTAAAGCTCCTGTGCTGTGGTTGTAAGGATATTTAAAGTGTTTTCATACAGATGATTCATAGCATGCATGTTCACTGTTGAATATAGCTCAGTAGCTACGGCTTATTTCTAATGAAATCCTGCCATTCCAGTCATTGTGATGTTTACGTCCTCAAAATATCACCACCAGTTTTATACAATATGAATCAGTTCTTTAGCACTACTTTACTCACTACTTGTGAAAGACAAGTAAAAAAAAAGCATTTAGCTAGTCAAATACCTTTGGTTCCTCCTTCAGATGACTCATGTGTCCCAGATGTTGGCATGTCAAGAGGTTTGACCCGGAGCTTTGACCTTCAACAAAAGTGACTGGTGTTATTTTATTTAGTAAAGCGCTGTTATTTAAACTTAGAGACCGTAACCTTCAGTTCTTTCCCTGTGTTCTCAGCAGCAGGATGAGCTGGTGCAGATTTCTATGCGGCTGCAGGAGGATGGTTTACCTCCAGACGCCACTGAGGAGGAGAAGCATCGCTTTCTGTGGCAGCAGCTGCTCGGAAGTGAAGCAAAGCTCCATTCAGTCACCCAGGAACTGCAGACTTTACGAACCCAACAGGCCAACGAGATGAAAGAGGTGAGAAATGTTGGCCCTTTAAAAATCCTGAAAAAAACCCAATACCCAGAATCCATCACTCACATTTTCCTCTTCACATGCCAGGTGGAGAGCTATGTTGCACACATTCGTGGACTGTTAGAAGAGCGCGAGAGTCTGACGGCAGACTATGAGAGAGACAACGAACAGTTGCGACATGAACTTCATCAGATCAGACAACAACAAGGTATAACAACTGATACTGCAGGTGGTATTCTTTCCTTTGATCGTCCACAGTTGTGACCGGTCGTGGCTTCTCGTAAGAGGTGAGCACTTTCCAGTACTGAAGTCTCTTTCTCTTCAGAGAGCCAGAGCAAAGAGCTGGCAGAGATGCTGGCTCAGGAGGACCTTGGGGAGATGGGCCTGAGCAGCCCCAGTGAACAGGTGGCTTACTTGCTGGTGGAAAGGGCAACTTTATTGGAAAGGCTGGAAGCTGCTGAAAGAAGACTGGAAAGTCAGAGCTTGAGCGGAAATTTGATGGAAGGCCAACAGCAGGTGAACGGCCTCCTGACACCACAACAGGACATTTATGTACATGCAGTTTTCTTGAGATATTGTTGAATATTAGCTTTCCAGAAGTCATAAATAATCTTTTATATGAATGGTTAACCTAAATACAAATGTAACACAATACAAGTATAAAGATGTCAAGGTTATAATAATTGAAATATAAAAGGCACAATATTTAGGAAGGCAGATCGTCTTGTTTATTAGTGGAACTGTGTTTTTGGGACCAGGGGCAGGAACACATTCAACACTTGGTGGGAGAAGAGCTCAGGCAGCAGAGGGAGGATCTACAGAAAAGAATAGACTCCATGTCAAAGGTGAGGGGCCTCAACATTACCACAGTGAACATCATAATATTTTGTCAAACAGTTCTTTAGATGAGTCTGTAAGGTTGTAAAAGGTAAATGACTGCCACACAGATCCTTAAGACCGTTAAGAATTATTACATTTTCAAAATAAAACATCTTTTAGACTTTATTCTGTGAGTATTGAGGTCTATAACATTGATACGTTATCTTTAAATGAAGAATTTAAATGAAAATGACCAGATTATGAAGAAAATTATTAAAATATTTTACACCATCAGCACATTGTCCAGTAATGGTCCACAGACCTTGGCTTGGCACATATTTAACATGGGGAGAAAATCTTTTTTTTTGCTAATTCCGTTGTATGAAGAATGACTTTTAGCCAAATGCAGTGATTTCCAGTACAGTTATACATCTTCCTTGCTGTGACTTTCCACTGACATTAAACAAACACACACATACACACACATTGGTCTTTCCTCTCAGCAGTGTACATCCCAGAGTCCATGGAAGAAGCTGTTTGGTCTCCGCAGGTCGGGTCAGAACAAGCACAGTATCAGCCCTGTAGGTTTTCACCCCTCAGCCTTTACTAACTGTAATTACTAACAGCAAGAGTCACATAAAGGTTTGATCCTCTCATTATATGTGAAGTCAATAAGTACAACACACTGTACCAGTGGTTTGGTACCAGCATGTCACAGGTACCAGCATGTGTACTCTATGACCCTGGACTCACTCTACAGCATGAATCCTGAGATCTCACTCTCTCTAGCCCCGTGGGTGGGGGTGATTATGGTGATGAAGATGACGGTGTTGATGGTGGTGAAACTAATGCTCAAACTGCATGTCTTCTCCCACAGCATGGCCCTCTCCACACATCCACTCTTCCTTCCCCGCTGCACTCCTTCCACTCCTAACCATTCTCAATTCCTTTCATAACACCAGGTCCACACTGAGCAGATGTCCCAGGAGCAGAACGAGCGCCAACGTTTGGAGAGAGACCTGGAAGAGGCGTCAAGGAGGCTAGCGATGGCTCATCAAGATATCCGCAGACTCACCAATGAGCTGGATGTTGCCAAAAATAACATCATAGATTCAAGCGGTGAGAGGAAGATGTGTAGTAATAAATAAGTTCAATAAGTAAGTTTAATTAATAATAAATTAGTAATGATAAAAATAATTAATAAAACAGTTTCTTATGTGGATGTCATTCAAGGCCAATTAACATGAGATATTACAGATTATATTTCAGTCAACTTAAACCTTAAATAAATCTTAAATTAAACTAGTTCCCATTAAATTAAATTATGACTAAAAGTGTGTTAGAGTTTAAAAGACTAAATTTAGTTTAAAAATGTAAAAGTTTTATTTATAATTATGTACAAATGTCCCAGCTTTCAGACCATATTTGGTTTTTATTACAATTTTTTATTCACCATTATACTATTTCTTTTATATATTTTTTCTGATGTGTTGATTGATGAGTGCAGTGAGCAACAAAGGGGAATCTGAGAGGAGGTGTGTTTCTGCTCTGTAGACCTTATAATATGTTTATAATCTCAGGACCTGGGATACAGGAAATGGTCCAAGAAGTAGAAAACCTGAGGGAGGAAGTGGACAAACTGAAACACTGTGGTGAGACAGGTTTTCATACTGAGACACAGCCTGATTAGAATCTGGTTAGCTTTCTGTTTCTTTTCACTCTCACTGTCAACTTTCTTTTGCATGTGAAGCTTCTGGAATTGTTAGAAAATAAACTGTTTGTGTTTTCCTGCTTTGCAAGTTTCTAAATCACAGTTTTACCAGCATTCTTGACAGAAACCTTGACTCTGTTTTAACAAGGAAATACATATACTCAGCAAACAGTATACAGTGTTGTACATGGTCAAGAGTATTTTGTCTGCAGATGTGATGAAGATACAACAAGCCAAAGAGGAAAAGGACAGACTTGAAGCAGAGAACAGAACACTGAGGGAGAACGTGCACAGAATAGAATCTGAGAGGAAGAATCTCCAGAAGCAGGTGCAGAGTTAACACGTGTATTTAAGTACAGATGTGGTCAGAGCAGCATGGTGTGACTTTGTTCCATTGTTCCTTCTTTTCAGTTTGAGTCAGACCAACATGTTGCTGCTGAAGATGCTCGAAAGGTCACGAACCTTGGCATTGAACTGCAGAGCAATTCTTCTGCCTTATCAGCTCCAGACAAGGATCACATTCACAAACGGTAAATAAATACTCACCACAGTGTTAAAAAACCCCATCATATATCAATGATCATCAACTGGTGACTTGTCGGCATGTCCTGTCACATCATGTCATGTGTAATCATTTCATCTCATGTGATGTATCATACCGAGGTAAAAATAAAATGAAAGATAATTAAAAGAGATCACATCAACCAAGGGCAACAGTTAACCCCACAATGGGTCAGAAATAAATCACTGTAGTTCATGTGTGAAAGTCCAGTCGTCCTTGTCCTTCAGGTGTCACGAGGTGATGGAGGACGGACTTGTGCAGGTCAGAGAGCTGCAGCGGCAACTCCAGCGACTGCGCAACCAACAGGAGGAGCTGGAGGAGAGGAACGAGGAGCTGGAGGCGCTGCTGGGTGAGGCCCAGAACGCCAGCAAGGAGGAGAGGCATCGGCATGAGGGGGAACTGGAGGGAATGCACCGCAGGGTAATGACGCCACCACAACCTTGAACAGACTTCACTACAGAAGTATAAAAAAAGTAACAGTGGTTAAAGCATTGTAAAAGAGTCTTAATGTCGTGTGATTGTACAGATCAAAACCTTGGAGGCAGAGCTGAAAAAGCAGGATGTGCATGAAAAAATAATGAGAAACGGAGAAGAAGTCAAAGAATCCTTCCTACAACTGGTACAAAATTATCTTTATTTTTTCTTTTAAACCTGTTTTGTTACATACAACACATATGATGTTTATGATGTATTATAGTAGTGAAAAATATTAGGAAACCCAATATGACAAATTACAAAGGTTAAACTTAAAATACTTTCCTCTGTGTGTGTGTAGCACCTAAGGGACGCCAGCCAGGAGAGAATGGCTCTTCTGGAGGCCAGACTGACTGAGGAGAAGGACTGGAGAAAACAGCTGGAGGTCGACCTGAGTGCTGCCCAGGCCGCTCTCAAAAAAGACAAAGATGTAAGAAGAGGTCACTGCATGTTAAAATGTGACGTCTCAGAGCAAAGGCGTTAATCTTTGAATATGGACGATAGGCTTTGCAGATCGGTGAGCGAGAGTTGAAGAAACTGAGACTGGAGATCAACAGTCTGCAGACAGAGTGCCAACAGGGGAAAACACTCATCAAGAGCCTCACACAAGTCAAAGGGGAAAAAGCTGTTCTGGAAGAAAAGGTTTGTTCGTTTTTATTTAAAATTAAATAAAAATTAGGCTGACAAAATAATTCTAATTTGTGAAGTTAATCATGTTTAAAATTTTAATGTATTTTATTGCTTTATAGCTTTCAAGTTATAAAAAGATATAAAGTTATGACTAATCATGATTAATGATTTGTTAGGTGATTAATTGTGATTTATGTCTTATTTTTGGTTAATTAGGTTATGCATAATTCATATGGTTTGGCAGCTTTATTAAAAAGAAAACGTTTTTCAAAGCCAGTTAATAAATAAAATGACAACAATAAACAAACTTATTTACATAAGTGTTTGCTGACTTTCAGTTGGCCCAGATGGACCGAGCCCACAGCCGACTGCAGAGTGAACTGGAACGCTTTAAGGATAGTAACAGGACCCAAGAGGACCTGAAGGAAAACAGGCTCCATGTGGACCAGCTGCAGAACCAGACCGATCGTCTGACTGCTGAACTGGGCAGCCTCCAGGCCACACACAGCGCACTTAGGTTGAAATGAGTTCATAGCTGCAGAAGTTGTAATATTTGCATTTCCAAGACAGGGCGTCATCTTTGAGGTTTATATGTAAATTGCACATCGTCTCCATCCTGCAGGGAAGACCTGGTGTCCGAACGGAAGCAGAGCGCAGATCTTCAGGCTAAGCTGAGCTCCAGTGTCCAGGAGAAGCTGGCAGCTGAGGGAGAACGAGAGAGACTGGAACTTGAGATCCAGCACCTGAGTGAGCAGCTCAAGTGGCATCAAGAGCAGGTCTCCTCTATGAAGGAAGTGGTCAGTAGCAGCCAGAGGCTCGAACTACAAACAGCTGAGTCCCGACTCGGTCCAATGGAGAGGAGCAAGGATGACGACTCTGATCAGGTAAAGGAGTTAGAAATCAGAGTCATCAAAGAGGTCACACCTAATTTAACACCATCTTTAGCACATAGCTACCGGGCTAATGAACAGCTGGAAAGACGGAGACACATTCTTCCTCTACATTATAACGTCATTATTTTAACGTGTGTGTTTTGCTTGTAGCTTTCACGTCTGAAACAAGAGCTGAACCAGCTGCAGGTCAAACTGCTAGAGGAGCAGCAGGTGGCTTCTCAACACCAGATGGCTTTGCAGGCCCAGGTCCATGAAGCCCAGGCTCATATCAAGGTACAATTCAACATAACATCGTCTTCAATAAACTCCGGCTCTCATTTGTAGTCGTCTTTTGTGTTCTTTTTGTTATCTGTTCTCATCCTTTAGTCTCAGGATTCAGTGCTCAGTCAGAAGTCAGAGGAGACAAAGCAGATGAAGCAGGACCTGCAGCGGGCCCAGAACCTGTTTGCTTCAGCAGAGAGAGAGCTACGTTATGAGAAAGAAAGAAACATGGACCTGAAGAGACACAACACCCTGTTGGACCAGGAAAAGCTCAAGGTTTTTGTCCTATCATAGCCCATGTGCAGTTACATATATTATCACCATGTGGTGCTAATCTGTGTTATTGACATTTAAATTATTTAGTATAAAAGACATTTTGGCTTTTTTTAATTAGATTTTTGCAGAGCTGAAGCAGGTCCAGACCAAACTGGTTCAGGCAGAACAGAGTGTCCACACCCAAGCAGCGGAGAGTGAACGTCAGCAGCACAAGGTCCGAGAACTGGAGCTGGAACTAGCACGGAGCTCCACCAGTTCTAGCGCCACCACCAGTCTCCAGGAGGACCTGCAGGCTGAAAGGGCACGGCTCATCGCTGCTGACAAAAAGGTCAGTCCTGCTGTGGTTATACTTTATAGTGTAATCAACAGAAGTAGCTGTAATTTCAAAAAGTCAGTGATGTCATATGATTATCAACATGTCATCCACCTTTTACGGATGTTGGTAATGTCTGGTGTGAGTCACTGGTGAATCTGCTGGTTTTGCTGTGATGGCAGGTGTTGGAGTTGCAGCAGCAGCTAAACAATGCCCAGCACCAGCTGCGCATGGAGGAGGCTCGGGTCGGAGAGAGCTCCCGCCTGGAGAGGGACAACAAGGACCTGTCTGACACCTTGTCAGCGCTGAGAGCCCAGCAGCATGAGGAGCACATAACCAGGTCACCCTCCTCACCCCAGCATCTTTGACCTGTTTGTTGAAGAGCACCACTGTGATCCACTCCTCTTGGTGACCTCCTTTTTTCTACCAATCATTTTTTTCCTTTTTCTGCCTCAGGAAGCTGTTAGAGCAGCGGGAGGAGGAGCTGCAGCAGCAGGTGCGCTCCCTGAGGCTGAAAGAGGCCACTCTGAACAGGAGCAACACCGAGCTCAGCCACCGTGTACAGCAGCTGGACACTCGCCTATCCATCCTGGACGCTGAGCTCAGCAAGGCCAGGGAGGAGGTGAGGAACATTATACATCATTAGTACCGCACGGTTCTGGAAACCTGGCATATTTTTGGCTCTTTCCCAATTCAGTGTCTGCAGCCTGCTAAACATTTGGCTGTGATTTGTCGACGACAGCAACCAGATCTGTCCTGATTTGTTGGCAACATCAACGACAGCTAAAGTGTTGTTTACGCTGCTGCTGCATTTCACGTCGCCAACAATAACAGAGACACTGCACCAGTGCACTGTACTATATATCAGCATAAAATAGTGTTTTTTTTTATAATCACTGTAGCAGGTATAAACAGACTTTCCTCATTCACATTCAATGCTCAGTCATTCTTATAATACACAGATTTATTAAGTCATGTTTATTAGCATCTGTACTCATGTTCATGTTAACATTGTCATTCATAGAAGCTTTAAAAATAAATAAGAATATAAGTGAAGCATCTATAGCCCTCCTGTATCCATTTGCTACATAATGTTGGAGCCATGTTAATAAGTATTTCATAATACTAATATGTATTTTTGTAATGTGTTAAATTTGTGGACATATTTGGGGGAAATATTTTTAAGTGTCAAAAAATGTTGCCGCCCACCCCTGGTCCACAGTAAATAGCAGTTCAGCTGGTTATGAACTGTATTTTATGACATTATGGTATGTGTATCCTGCAGGTGAAAAGCAGCCACGTTACCAGCCACAGGCTGCAGGAGGACCTGGCAGCCAGTCAGCAGGAGTGTGACAGACTGCAGGCGGAGCTGCAGCAGGTTCTCCTCCAACTTGACTCACACTTTCGGTGAGACATGTAACATATGTATTTAGACGACATAGTTGAGAGTTGAGTCACATTAGAAACGTGGTTTCTATCCTGTGATTGGTTTGGTCGTCCCTATTGTTTTAATGCAGGAAGTACAATGAAAAGCAAAGTCAGCACAAGATCAAGCTGAGACAGGCCAAGCAGGTGTTCGTCAAGGCAACAGCCCAGAGAGATCGCACCATACAGAAACTGGAGAATGACCTGTTGCTGGCAGCCAGTCTCTCTCACAAGGTCACACACACACTTTGAACACACATGCAACCCTCTCACTGTATAACATAGAACATGGGGAATATTAACATATTCTTTTATATATTTCTTTTTTCTTCTGCTCTGTGCTGTGGTTAATAGGAGAAAGAAAGCATTCAAACAGTGATGGAGGAAAATGAGAAGCTCTTGGAGGAGAAGAGAGAGCTGTTGAAGAAGGTCAGTGAAGCAGAAGAAATGGGAAGCAAAGGGATGAGGACGGCCTCCACTGTTCAGCACAGGTATAGTCACAACGAGCTGTTCCTCAGTGACAAGTACTATATCATCCGAGGTCATGAGGTCATTTTGAATGTCTTCAAGGGTTAACGTCTTAGAAGTCGAAAACCTGCAGCTGCAGGAACGAACTCTGAAGCTCTCCAATCAAGTTAGTTCCTTGGAGCGTGCTCTGAGGAACGCCCAGTCCATCTGCAGCCTCGAGGTAACGTTATACAGTGCACGTTTTCACGGTGTTGACAGGGGGCGTGCTTCTCAAACATTCACTGGCACTTTGTAATGTTTTAAAACAGTCGTACAATCATGGCTAATGCTGAATTATTAGAAGGTAAGAGAATTGGTTGGAGCCAAATAAACAGGGGTGACCAGCCCTCTGTCGTCGTACTGTAACAAACTGCAGAATTTCTAACAAATCCTCAACAGAATATCAAGATAATGCACTCATCTGAGAGTTTGCGTGACAGCATCTTGCAAGCGTCCACCCTAAGGTAGGGCAAAATGGTTAATTATAATTATTATGGTGTATGAGCATAAAAAGACTTATTTGTTTGTATTTTTTATGGCTTCAGTTTGACGACAGGCTCCTGTAACCCTCTCAACATCCTGGACAAAATCTGTCGTGTGAAGATGAGCGAACAGGTGACGGAAAACACCCGAGCGTCAGTCTCCACGCACCAGCTGTCGGAGCAGGGTTACCTGAATCTCACCTCACCACTGGTCGTTCCAGAGGCCAAAGGCTCGGAGGGCAGTCCTCACACAGGTGACAAAGTCTGAGATGAGTTCACAGTGTTTCAGTGTCAAACTAATCACAGGAATCATTGCTCAGTGCACGTATTTAGAAGCACTCGTCCACATCCACTCCGCCTTATTTGAGGAGTAAAGTTTTATGCCTTCTTGTCCCACGCCATTCACATCTTGTAAAAATCCAACAATCTCTTGCCACAACTTGCACTACATAGTGTGAATCTGTAGTGTGAATATGTTGTACATTTAATGAATATCATTACAACATTGATATTCATGGATGTAAAACTGCGTAACGATACAACAGAGAGCTGCCAATCATGTGAGATGTGTCCTGTGTCAAGAACAAATGACACATCCACTGTGACCACAGTGAAAGAGTTAAAAAAAAAAAGTCAGTAATTCTTTTAAAATTTTTTTTTTTTCCAAATAGATATTACTGAGAGAGTAATAATGAAAGGGACCTGCCACTGTTGTTCTGCTCAGGTACAAGCACTTTTACATTTGTATATAAAAAAACAAATTCTTGTTTAACTTTATAAATACACATATGGACAATGGAGCTATCTCTAAAGCTTCTTTAAAGTGCCATAGTTGTCTTTTTGTTTGCATTTCTTTACATTTAGTTGCGTCGTTGTTTGCACCAGTCCATGAAAGCGAAGCTTTTGTGTTGTGGAACATATACCATATAAATGTAATGCATGTGGTTGACTTTGAATGATATTTGTTAAAAGAGCACTTTATTATATAAATGGTCTTACTTGTGTTTACATTTGAGTAAATGTAGCAGTGGATGTAAATGGGTGAGATACCAAATGGTATGCATTTGTCCCCGAGTTGAATCCATCAGGGCCGTGTTTTCTATGAAAAACGATAGTGGTGTTAGTTTATGGTTTTACTGTGTTGAAAATATCATTGAAAACGTGACAATACCTGTGGATGGCGCTGTTGACCTACATAGTATTTCTCAAATGATGGGTCGCAGCCTTCACAGATGTACGATAATCGTATTTGTACGATGATTTTACCCTTGGTGCGATGTATGATCAGTGATTCTGAAAATCCCTTAATGTCCGATAATCTGACCCTTTTGACCCCCAACTCCAACAGGATACAAACAGAACATTCTCTGCTTGTAATTTGCGGAACCTGCGGAAATAATAAACCTGTTATTTAGTATAACTGTGCCACATTAGAATGTGAGTTTGGTGGCTGGGAATATTTTCCTTAGAATGTGAGATTTTTCAGTGGCTATGGTGTGTATACCATCAAACACACCGATACAAAAGTAAAATGCATTTAAAAGTACCAGAATAACTTCATAAGCTGACGAGAACAGAATGTCTTATAAATATTAGGAGACCTTAAGAGACGAAAATAACTTTTTGAGAATAAAATAAGTTTACGAGAATAAAGTCATATGTTCGTGAGAATGAAATTTGCAGAGTACAAGAATAAAGTTGGAGGTTTATAAGAATTGAGTCAAAAATGTATGAGAATTCATTCGTACGTGGTTTAAAACAAATGAACCTGTAGCCTAGACAGGACACAGCACGTAGGACAGAAATTGAGGTTTTTAGTTGGACAGTTTTAATAATCATTCCCTTTTTTCAATGTTTTCTCCGTCTTTTTACATTCATACTATAAGTAAGACTTTCTTCTCAAAAATTAGACTTTATCCTTGTAAACTTTCCCTCAAAACCTTCTCATAAACTTAAGACTTTTTCCTGTTATTTTACCTCAGCAGAGAACTGTCTTTCTGTGTGGCATTTGTTACAGTAGAATCAACTGTTGTGTAATATTTGTTCACTGTAGAGACTGTGGGGTTTGGTTTTTTTTGTTTTTTTTTTTAATGTGCCTGAAGCAATGAAGTGTTAACCTAATTTGCTGCTTTATAAATAAAGAAAACTTTTTTTTTTCTACCGACATGAACTGTGATTATAAAACTTTTGAAAACAAAATATTCATAAATAAATGGGTTGGATTTAGATTTATGAGTCTGACTTGAGTAAAGAGGAGGATTTGTAACAGTCTTTTTATTAAACAAGGTAAAGATACAAAGCTCTTTTTTTTCTTTTTTTACTTTTAAACATTGGTAACCTTAGTTTAACTTCTCAGTCTTGGCTGTGCATATTGAGTTGTCTGGGAACTGAATATGAAACCACAATGCAAGACAGGAAAAAAGTGTAATAAATCTACGGAATATCTTTTCAAAGAGGAGGTGGGTTAAACAGTTATCATACAGTTTACAGCTCAGGATCTCCATGCGGAAGGAAACGGAATCCAAAAACAAAAAAGAAGAAATGTTTACACGACTGAATACTGCAGAACACAATACAGAGTAATGTAGACGTGGGATGATAAAACAATGAAGGCTTACATGTAAGTAACTGATATAAAAGGTGAATATTAATAACATACAGGGAGACTAAAATAATTACAGTTAAGTGCATACATAAGCTTTTACAAAAAAAACCCCAAACAGAGCATGTTTATGAAATCTTAAAAAATAAGTACTATTAAGTGAATAACCTCTTTTACAGTACAGCAACATGTACATTATGCCCCACCCCTAACCACCCGCCCAACCCAAACCCCAGAAAAGAGTAAAAGCTGAAGAGGCAGGGTCTGTTGTTGGCGTGAATATGTGTTCAGGCCAGTGGCTTGAGTAATACGTTTTTTTTTTTCCTTTTCTTTTGAAAACATTACTATATACTGTATATGTATTTTACAATATTCTCAGTTCCATCTCAGATGTAATGTTCTAGCTGTAGCACCTGTTCTGAAGTGCCCTGAAGAACGCAGGGTACTCTGTTAGTACCATACAGAGTTTAGTTACAGTAAAAAAATATTACAAACAATACTGTGTACAATTAAATGTTTTTAAAAAAAAGTACAAACAAAAAAAAAAGCAAAGCTGGAGTGTTGCCTCCCTATGGTCTAAAAACAGGCCTATGGGTTATGACTGTTACTGCAGTTCAGTTTAAGAAGGGTAAAGCTTATGATTAAAGATTACAAAAGTCTAAAATGGGTCGAGAATAACTTCACATTTTGGTCCAGTGGTCAGGCTTTAGATTTACCACTTCACTATAATTGTGTTTCAGCTTAGGTGTGTTTAAAATTAGGGCTAAGTATGAGCAGAGCTGGTATTGGTGCATGTGCAATGTACTCAGGATAAATGTCTAATGCTAAGAAATAAATGAGAAAAACAAACAAACTGAAGAGTTAAAAAACACTTGCTTTCTTATATGGCACATGTTAATGGGATGCGACGGGAAAATTGTAATGTTAGAAAAGTGTTAAAATCTGAAAAGTGTTGTGAAGGTGAATGTCTCTGTGTATGTGTGTGTATATATATATATATATATACACACACACCTATACATGTGTGCATATATGTATTTTGTGTATATATATATACATACACACCTATATATGTACGCATATATATACACACTCACACACATTATATAACCATTTTCTGTCTTTTTTTGCCTACAATTACAAACTCATTTCAAGAAAAGTTGGTACGCTTCCTAAATATCTGGTGAAACCAACAGGAAGCAGTGAATATGACACTATACTACAGTACTGGTCACACCTGCAGTAAAGTAAAAGTAGAAGAGTATGACTTACATATATTTACACGCTCCAAAAAAATTAGGACAGAGGTGAAGCCAAAAGGTCAACAAATGATTGTATCATGATTGCGTAGAAAATGAGTATGCGTATGTATTTTTGCAAGA